CTGAAATACAGTGTTCCTCATTTAATATTTCTTCCGCTCTCACATCAGAAGATGGTTCATCAACAAATGGCTCATCATTTTCGGAATATATTTTTGTGGATAATATTATTTCTTCATTGCCACCACAGGATGATGATGGCCCACTAGTGCTTCTATCATTAAAGTGTAGTTTGAGCCAGTTTGGGGGCACATTGTTTAATAATGTTTACACATACAACCTGTTCTTCCTTGGTTACATGTGCAAGTTGAAACTTCGAAATCAATGCTCGTATCGTAATGAAAATCTGCCATCACTTGTGGTCCAGAACTCCGAGAGTAGTTTATGATGGCTCTAATGTCCAGGATAATCTGAATAATTCAAAATTCAAACCATTTCAAACTGATGAGATATTTATTCTGAATTGAAAAACTTAAGCCGAAACACGCACGCGTGAAACTCAACGTTGTGATTGGTCTAAAAGCTTGTCTATGCCTGTTATCGGGGCGTTTTGAATACGTGCCCCGAAACGGTCCATAGTTGGAAGTTCAGACCAAGCTGATAGCGTTTTACACCAAGGTCTATTAAATAGCCTTGGTTTCACACTGGTCGAACTAGCTCGAACTTTTACGGCACTGAGCGCGTTTTGCGTGGTTCACTGAGAATTTCAAGAGCTAAATTTTGTCGAAATCGCTTTATGCTTGCTCAAAGTTCGAGTTTTCAGAACCGTGCTTGTGCGACGGTTTTTTTTTGTATAACCTTAAATATTTGAGTGGGAAAATATTTTAAATTTGAATGATTATGAATGTCTCATAGATGTTTATTGCAATAATTTCCGAAATGGTGATTGAGATACAGAAGTATGTATACATTTTGGACAGGGTATTGAATTTTATGTTTTTTTTTTGTTTTCATAAATAACAATGTGCGATAAATTTTCGGAAAATATTAATAGCGTTTTCCACTCGTCACACTAGTTCAAACTTGTTCGGCACTAAGCGCGTTTTGCGTGGTCCACTGAGAATTTCAAGAGCAAACTTTTGACGAGAAATGATTTGCACTGGATTTCAAACTTGGTCGATGCTTGCTCTGAGTTCGAGTTTTCTGAACCGTACTTGTGTGACGGTGCGATACACATAACCTTAAATATTCGAGTGGGAAAAAGTTGCAAAATTATAAGTGTCATTCTTTCCATACTAGAGAAACAGCTTTTACCGCAAATTCAAAAACCCAAGTTGAAAAAAGATATTTAGATATGCAGGTATCAAAAATATTCAATTGTTGATTCAGTAATGATGAAGAATACTGACTTCGTAGACGACTTAATGCTAAATCACTATATTATTGTCGAAATTCAACTGAACGTCATAGACAATGAAGGTTCATAAGACTGTTTCTGGCAGTGCTTACAGGAGTTGGATGAATCCATTTTATGTGGACCAGCGAAACCAAATGTTCTATTAATGATTCAACTTTTTGATTGACAAAGCAGTTCCTACAATTCTGACATTTCTGATGACAAGGACAAGATAGACGCAACAATTCTCGATTTCTATTCCACTGCTATGTGCTGGAACTGCACTATTTGGAAGAACAGAGCCAGTGCCACTTGTACTTGGTCTGTGCTAGTGCGCACTGTAAATCGTCGAGTGGAAAATGCTATTAAATTGGATTTTTCTATCCGTCATTCGGTTGCGCCCTTACGAGCAATCCTCAAAAAGTCTTCGAGAGACTTGGGCGAGCAAGGAATGACGGAGGCCTACCCTTTTAACATGTGATCCCAAACACTTTCTTTTGCCACCAGAAAAAAATCTGTAGGAGATTTGAACCCACGATCGGCAAGCCAACGCGATAGAGTATTAAATGTTCTACCACCCAGCTACCTGGCCTCCTAGAACGATTTTGGCCTTGGCGCTATATTCGGATCGTGGATATTGGTGATGATCATAGCATGTTCAGTCGTTAGGATGATATTTAAGAAAAATTTAACTGTTACCCGCTGATTTGAAAACTTGGAACAGTAATACAAAAGTCCCGTTGTAATCGACTCGTGAGCGTACTTGTTATTGATTAACGTCTTATTGAATTACCATTGTAGTTCTAAATGAAAACCTAGTAAGTAAGCGAGAGGTATAATATTGACCACATTGTCAGTATGCTAGTGGCACCTATTCCGAACTGAGTTATTCATTTGTTATCCTAACCCTAGAAATTCTTCAAATTCCTCTGAAGATCCATTTTTCCTTTTTTTCTATCTTGTGATTCGTATTGGTTTATTTAAGGAGTGCCAAAAGATACTACAGATGAAACTTTAATAGTTAACGTTTTTACCACCTCGTATAGTTGAAGCTGTAGGTAGGTAGGGGTTAATCTGTGGTAGGGGTCAAAGTATACGAAGACAACCTGTACTCCACTCTTGGGCAAAATTAATATTTTTTGACATTCCTCGTAAACGACTGAAAAAATTCCATATCTAATATTCGCATTTTCATTTTTAGACTTTCCAGAACTTTTTATGAAGAATGGTTATCTTTCTTAAATTCAACGTTGAAAAAGTTTTCCATTTGTTGCCAACATTTTTAGTCATACTGTATATATTTATATTTCACAACTTTATATTACAGTGCCTTTAATGTCTCCCCCCCTTTCATTTTTTGAACAGGTCAACTCAAAAAATTGAAACTTGGGATGTAAATGTTGCATGAACACTATATTTTGAAGCAAAATTAACAGATGTACATTTCAAGATGGCGACTGGGCGCACCTGGGAGAAAACAATAAAATGGAAATGGAAGTCGTCTTACACATCCTTTTGAAGCTCCTTAGTAATACTTCAAACCCCTAGATTATAAAATCAATATGTTCACCTACTAAAAAATGGCGGAACATAGTTGCCTGAATACCTATTTATTAAACGAAATTCAACAGGGGAACCGTATTTGAATATGCTGAAAAATACTGTTGGCCCTCTAATCACCGAAATCATCGATGCAAAACCAAATGAATTTGATATGGATATTGTATTGCAACAAGAATGGCCAGCCCGCTCCCCAAATTGGACACCTCTAGACCTCCTTGACCTCATCAGAACATCGTAGAAAAGTCGGCAAACTTTCACTTTCCTATATATACACACACGGGAAAAGTTCCTATAATTCCATCACAAGCAATACCAGTCAGACGAACTCGACAGATCCAGTCAGCACATCCTTGCGTCGTCAACCTTGAAATATGTCGAACAACACTCTATCAAAAGTCGTTCGTCTATAGAACGTCGAAGCTTTGGAATTCTTTGCAAATGGAAGTATTCCCAAAAACATATAACCTCCAAAAGTTAAAAAAAAATTTCAACACCCACCTCCGCTCCCTATCCTTCCTTGGTAGGCCCGATGTCCTACGAACATTGTAGGAGTTTCCTTTCATGCGTTCCAAGAGATAAAAAAACGTGAAATAGCATATTCAAATAACTGTGCGTTTTGCTTACCGTGCGTAATGAGCTACTTACTACTAGCTACTATAGTGGTCGTACGTAGAATGAATAATACCTTTGTGGCTCGAGACGAAAGTCTTACCTTATGTTGTTGGAAATCATTGTATGTAGGCTCTAATTCACATCATCGTTGAGAAAGGAGTGTTAAAGAATGATGCACATACCTCCTACCTCCTCCTCTTGTAGAAGTGCAAAATGGAACATCAAAATGAGACTAACAGCAAACCAACAAGTAACTTATCAAAATTTTAATTTTTCTGAGGTGAAGTTTTGAAAACTTCAACCTATCACGTCCATTTTGACAAATATTCTATTGAAACAAATGAGCTCTCGATGTTTTCAGGAAACTAGCGCCATTGACAGGCAGACAAAATTTACTAACTAGATTTTCATTTGGAACGCCAATAGTAGGTATTACATATTATTCGAAAAATAATATACAGTGACATCCATTGGTCCGTAACATATGGGGAAAAATGTATTATCAGAGTATCGAAAAATGTTTTTTTGGGGATGTACTATGCATGTCCGATAATCTAATAATCGATTTTGACATATGTCACATGATCATTAGTATGGCGGTAAATTGAGAAAAGAATATGAAGAAGCAAAAAGTAGGGTTAGATGGCACGATATCGAAAAAGTTAATTGAAAAAGTTGCTTAGAATTAAATTTCATACTCACATACAATAATTATTCGAGAAAATTGAAAATAGCTATTTTTTTCGAATATTTTTGGATGTATAGGTGAAATCAGAACTTATTTTTGCAATAACTTCAAACTTTTTGGACAAGGAAAATTCGAAACTAGATGTTTAGGGTATTAGAAATGATTATTCGGTATCTAATTTGAAGTATTCTTTAGAGGGCACCATATAAGCCACATTTGTGACACAAAGGTTCTCTCAATAGTATTGATCTTCACATCAATGCTATTTCCGATAGAACATAATAGAGACATAATAGATATAATCTCATTCCGACAACAGCAAAAATATGACTGTTATCAAACCCAAAACTTGAGTTTTCGAGATGATCGTGTTTCAAGAATCAGTTGAATTTCCCTTGTACGTTTCTGATAGTGAAATTTTGAACACGGAAACATTTGGGGGCAAATTATTGATTTGTCCTTGATACAAATATATCGAAATAATACGAATATTTCAGTTCATAACAACGAAGAGAGAGAACCTCAAAATTTTTGAGATAGAATTTCACCTCCTCGATTAACCTAGAAGCAGTATTCAATAATCTATTCATCATTCAATACCGAATGAAATGAGCTGCCTGAAATTGTGTCATGGCGCTGAAACAAAAAATCATAATATTTAAATAATAACACAAAAGAATACTGAGAAGAATCCCTAAACCGCCGCCTAGACAACCCAGTTCCAAGTTCTACAGTTCAGTTAATTTGTTAGAATACGTGCATTCCATTTCACGTTCTACTCTCCACATTATTGTCTACGTCTACGTGTGGTTAGTTCTTGTCATATCTCGAAGAACACTATCTACAGGCAAGCCACCTATTACCTGATCCAGCTATCTCTTCCGGAATGGCCTCGCAACTAACCCTCATATCCTTGGAGTACATCTTGTTCTTCTTCCCACCTTCATCCTCCGCATTCTTGTCCTCCTGGTCAGCCATCACCTTCTGGTGCAAGAAGGGATTCTTCCAGCTGGCCGACATTTCGGGGCTGGAATTCGACCTTCGAACGGGGTTGCGAGACCTCGAACCATCGTCGTAGACGTAATCGATCTCTTCTTCTACGCTGTCATGCGAGTTTTGACGGGACGGAGATTGTCTAGGCGAGCCTTTCGATGAGAACAATCTTTTTACAATGGTCCGAACACTCCAGAAGGTCTGTTTTTTTCAAAGTGACGTGCTCTTCCGTGCGCCGAACCCGACTCGCTAGATTATCCCTCGATTATCTCTATGCAGTCGAGATTGAGACACCCAAGAACATCGCCTCGCAACAACTCCTTATTGTGACTTTGGAATTATTTACATGTGCAGGTGTTTCCAACAGAATTTTCTAGTGACAGGTCTTATCTCAATGTTGTGGCTGAGTAGTTAGTAGGTACAAACAATATTATTGTACTAGTGACCTATTATTATTTCTAAATTGGACAATCTGTATTCTCCATAAATTTCAGATTTGAGAGATCGAATTGATTTTGCTAATTTTGAAAATTAGTTGATGACCGTCAATGGCTTCTGTGTGACTGAGCACTTATTCACGTTCAAATCAATTTCAACCTCTGAAATTTGGGTATTCATCTCCACTACTACTATTACTACTCAGCAGCCACCATTATTCATTCTCATGTCAACTTGATAGACCCGAAACGTCTATTTTTTCAAAGTGACGTGCTCTTCCGTGCTCCGAACCCAACTCGCTAGATTATCCCTCGATTATCTCTATGCAGTCGAGATTGAGACACCCAAGAACATCGCCTCCCAACAGCTCCTTATCGTGACTTTGGAATTATTTACATGTGCAGGTGTTTCCAACGAGTTACAGAATCTTCTAGTGACAAGTCCTACCTCAATTTGGTACATGATTGGTTATTCTACACTTCTAGACGTGTCTCTATACTAAGCCGATTTGCTTTTTGTCACAAAGAAATCATAGATCCACCCTTTTTCCCTAGGAACGCACGATGTTTCACGAAAATTATAGGAATTTCCTTTCGTGCGGTCCAAGAGAAAAAAAAAGTATGATTTTTCTCAAAACAAAACTTATAACGAAATAAGCGTGTAGCTACACCTTACCTCTGTGGCTCCCAGGATTCCGCATGCACATTGTCTCGTCTCAATCTAAATCGTTTGCTTTCTAGCTTTGCGTTTGTTTTTGTTAACCACTGGCAGCACTCTTATCATTTTTTAAATGAACTATTCGTTTTTCAGAAATTCCAAGATTTGATAGATCAAATTAATATTGCTAATTTTGAAAATTAGTTGATAACCGTCTGTGGCTTCTGTGTGACGGGGCACTTATTCAGGTTCAAATCAACTTTGGCATCGAATAGGTATTTTATTTCCACTTCTACTATTACTACTCAGAATCCACCATTATTCATTCCATTGTAAACCTGATGGACCCTAAAATTTTTGTGACCTGATAGATCTCTTTCTCAAGGCTGTCGTGCGAGTTTTGAAGGACGGAGAGTCTAGGCAAGCGTTTCGACGAGAACAATATTTTTACAATGGTCCGAAACGTCTGTTTTTGAGTGAGTGAAAACACCGCCTTGAAACAGTTCCTTATCATGTACAGGTGTTTCCAGAGAGTTGCAAAGCCTTCTAGTGAAAGGTTCACCGGATCTATCTCAAGTTTATGGCAGAGGTATAATAACCTCGGTAAAGAAGAGCAGATAGTATTTAATGCTAAGTGGTTATTCTACACTTCTACTGAAAGAATTGTCTCAAAACAAATCCGAAAACGCCACTCCTGCAACTTTCAATTCGGCCAAGAGGGAATTTTGGAGCTATGGAGCCTAATCTTGCATTTACCAATATCAATCTTCTCACTTTTTGTGGCTGAGGTCCCAACTATCATTCTAGCAACTGAATTTCTACACGTGTCTATACCTAGCTAAGTCTATTTTTGTCACCCAAAAATCTTTGATCCACCATTTCTCACCTCCTAGATGATTTTTCGCAAAACAAAACCAAAAACGCCACACCTATAATTTTTAAGTCGTCCAAGAGGGACTATTGAGGCTATGGAGTCTAATTTTGCAATTACCAATATCATTCTGCTTACTGAATCAGTAGAAGTTACATATTGTTAACATTTCTGAATAAGACAATCTGTTTTTCAGAAGTGAGAAGCGAGACCTACCAAATTAATTTTGCTGATTTTGAAAATTAGTTGTTAACAATCAGTGCCTTTTGTGTCACTGACCACTTATTCACGGTTAAATCTACATTAACCTTTGATATTTGAGTATTTGATTTTCAATACAACTATTATTGCTCAGAACCCACCATATTTATCCTATTGTCAACCTAATAGACCGACTTTTGGCAATGTCAATCATTTGACAGCTGTAAATAACTTCCATTCACCTATGTCTTTCCACTAAAATTTTGTATCCATATCGAATCTGGCAACAGCAATCTCGTGGCATCTGAATTTTGGTTACGCAGAAGACTTAAAACGTCAGTGTCATTCGTGGTCAAGTCACGGATTATAAAAATCAGAAGGGTATCTCCAATGCAGTAATGAATTTTCGTCTTCGAAGTGCCCACCTGATGTTAGGTCAGGTATTTACTATGTTCATTTCATAATCTGATTAATCCGAGACTTGCCAGTACCAAAAAGACGGGTTCTAATAATTAATATCCAATTTCATGTCTGATTCTTGGATATTTTGTGTACAAGTGATGAAATCATGATAGGTAACCTGGTGTGCGTGGCATGAAATAATGTTTGTGCAGTAAACAAAACGATGTCGACAGCATCGACAGTAAGTGCGACTACTATCTCTGAAAGCATTCTGCTATGCCAGTAGTGTGTTCTCATTTTATATGTTGAATTTCATTTGGTAATTACTGATGAATGCCTTTCGACGTCACACAAGAATCGATAAAGTGTTGATTCCAACTGCATATAGGAACGATTAGTTATGTGAAAAAATAAATGACAGCAGCTTTAATGCAAAACTCTGAAAACACAAATAACTGAGCATTTCAAATATAAATTCCTCTGTATTTATCAAAATACTGACAATCTACTTTTGGTGTTCTTAATTCTTGTTAATTCTCTATAATTTTCATAGGCAACTTTCATGAAAAAAGTCACACATTATTATAGTGCTGTTGCAAAGTAACTTAACTCTTACATTGATCATAAGTCCTATAATTTCGCTGTTAATATCATACTTTATCACTGGCGTATAGTCAAATAACAACAAGACCTCTCACAGTTTTTAGTATTTATATCATGACAGGTAGGTTCATCGATGAATCTTGCACATGAAACAAAGATTCATCAAGTAAAATTTTGATTCACCAATCTAAAGATGTGACTTTCTTATAGGAAGTTGGCCAAGAAGAACACAATAAGAATTGATAAATAGTAAGAACAACAATATTATTGTTTATTGTACCTTCTTACTCTCAAGTACAAAATTTTGAAGAATGCAAACTATTTCGAGTTTGGAATGCTAGTTTCTTGTCTTTCCAGAGTTTTGCATATCCTCAATGCTGCTGTCATTTATTTTGTACACAAGAAGAAAATGCATTTATTGGAACCATCCCACTTGAACTTTAGATTTCAAATTGTCTGTACAGTATATTTCTTTTCGTGGGAACCAGAACATAAAAAAAGAAGGTTGGGAAGTGTCACACTACACACCTCAACTTCCCGCCCTCACTTTCCGCCCTCACTTTCCGCCCTCACTTATGTAATATTCTAGGTATGTTCAGAACGAAACAGAGATTTATTAATTTTGATAGAAATATAATGGTTGTAAATAGTATAGTATACAAATCTCAGTAGGAAGTTTCATTCCTGTCTCGAGATCATAGCTAACCTCCACTCCACGGTAATTTTTTATTTTTATTCAATTTCATCATTGATTAAACTGACAGATCTCTCAATACATCTTGATCTCTGAGTAATAATGATATCCCCTTCTATTATATAGAATTATGCATAACTATTCACAACGTAGTAAAGGTTACAGGTCAAATTGGAAAATAATTGCGAGTAGTTCCATGGTACCGAAGACTATTTCTTGCCTTGCTTACTTATTAATATTCAATATCACTATTATCATATCCACCTTGATTACTATCATTCCAGGAACTGGTTCTAACTGTTCGATGTTAAACCCAAGAATGACAAAGCGAGATAGCAGCTCTGCCATCAGAGATTCAAGAAACATTTTTTATAGGAGTTGTAGGTCCAAGAGATGATATTTTGAAATTAGTTTCCATTTTACAGTGTGTCTCAAAAAATGTGGTATATCAAACTCACGTTTTTCCAATATTTCAAGATATATGATTTCTCATCAAATAATGCTTACTAGTAGTTTTTTGTTCTCGAAAATCCGACACGGCGTTGCCAAATTATAACTGTTTTTCGGGAAATGCAGACATTTTTTAAGAAAAGTGTACTGTATCATTTGAACATTCATGTTGATCATTGGTCAATACAATGTTCTAGTATATGAAACTCTCATCGTTTCCACAAAGTGTACAGGGTGGCCAGAATAACATTTCAACTTTCTCGAATTTCAAATGCTTGTAACTCATCAATTTTTTGACTGATATGGAATTGGACCTAGCAAAATGCATGTAAGATTTCTTACTTGTCTATAATTCTCACCACAACGTGATTCTTCCACATTTGTGTTTGATTTGTGATTTTGATGTATGCAATCAAATAAAAAATATTTCAAATATTGATTATTTTCGTATCTTATTGAAAGAAGAAATGTGTTTCATAGTTATGATCAGATTTTTGTAGTTATAGTGAAAGACTTATGTCGTAGTGAGAATTATTGTAGAGCAATCAGAAATTTTACATGCATTTTCATCCAACAGGGTGTTCAAACATGAGAATAACTATCAAATAACGCGAGTAAAACAGCTGAACTATAATGTTTAGCTACGTCATACCACATATCAGTCGAAGACATATTGAAATACCTATTCGATAGTGTGAAATGGTGCATGGTGTGCCATTTGAGAAAAATTGAGTCACGAGCATTTGAAATTCGAGAAAGTTAACGTGTTAATTTGACCATCCTGTATACTTTGTGGAAAGGATGAGAGATTAATATAATAGAATAGGGTATTGAGTATTGATCAACCCGAATGTTCGAATAATATCTTGGAGTTCTGAGTAGTTGACTTTTCTTCAAAGATGCCTGTATGTCCCGAAAAACGGTTATAACTTGGCACCGCCGCGTCGGATTTTCATAAACAAAAAACCAAAGGTAAGCATCATTTGATGAGAAATCCTATATATTCAAATAAAGGATGGCCATTTGAAGAGAAAACAGAGACTCTGTAGGTTGCCAGAAACGGATCATAAAAAAACTGGAACACGTCAACTCTATTTTCGCGGGAGAACATCGTTCTAAAATACTTTCAGCGGTGCGGCGTTGCCGCTTCTGTCGAAACGTATTAACAACTTTGTTATTTCAAATGGAATACCCTATATTTCATTGCATTTTCAGATTCTCCCTGAAGAGCTGATTTTATCAATGTATCACACTTGGAGTCTAGCGGGAACGATTACAAAAATCAAGATTTTTAAAATTTAGGATTTTTTGTGGCAAAACTATTCATTATTGATCAAAACGGCACACATGTCCTTATCTTAACTCCTGATTCACTATCTACTGACATCACTGTAGCTGTTCGCCAATTGAATGTTAGGGACATAAAAGCCGTTTTGATCGATAATGAATAGTTTTGACACAAAAAATCCTGAAGTTGAATAATCTCGATTTTGAACATCTTATATCTCTGTAATAATTCCCGATAGATTGATGGAATCAGCTCTTCATGGAGAATCTAAAAATTCAATAATATACAGGGTATTCCATTTGAAGAAACAAAGTTGTTGCTACTTTTCGAAAGAAGCGGCAAGGCCGCAGCAATAAAAATATTTTAGAACGATGCCTCCCTGGAAAATATTGTTGACGTGTTCCAGTGTTTTTCTATAATCCGGTTCTGGCGACCTACAGAGCCTCTGTTACGTTTTCAAACGGCCACCATGCATATAGGGTGTTCCATTTGGAAAAACATAAGTTTGATATGTCACATTTTCTTGAGACACACTGTATAATCTATACTAACATTATAAAGAGGAAAGATTTGTATGTTTGTATTGAATAGGCTCTGGAACTACTGGACCGAACATAGGCGGTTTGAAATTTTTCATGGGTATTTCGATGGTTTCCTGGATGATTCAAAGATACAATTGGACGCGATAGGTGGCGCTGCTCTCGTTAGGTCAACTACTAACCTAACCTGACCGATTGGGTTGAAATTTTTAATACGTAAAACAACAAGAAAGTTACAGAAGATACTGAGGGAATGAAAATAGGTGTGAAATTGAGAAAAATAACAAAAAATATGTACTGTAGATACGCTTACAGCTCAGAACGACTGCAACAGATGTCTAATTTTTTTTAATAGGTACACCAACCGTGCAAAGCAGGGCCGGACAGCTAGTGGAAAATAATTTTAAAGTAGACATCTCTTGGACTCGACAACTCCTGTGAACATGTTCTCCTAATAGCAGAGCTGCTGTCTCACATTGTCACAATATTGGACCACCCTGTAGAAGCTGAATGTATACTACATATTATAATGTTTACCTGGTAAACTGCCATTTGATCCTGAGGCTACCAAACTTCCTCTGTCGTCTTCTTGATTAGCTTGATCTTCAGAAAATTGTCTCTTCAATGGCGGTCTAGGACTATTACTCGCTTCGGGGCTCAGAGAAGGCATGAATAAAGTGGACAATTCATTCAGCGGAAAATCGTACATAGAATGAGTGAAGGATATTTGGTTCTGTATCCTCATAACCCAAGACATGTCACCTAAAATAATATATTCAGTTGATATCAACAATATCTACAGAGAAATTAAAACGGTCGATGATTGTCACCTAAAACCGTATTGTATCTTGATCTACTCAATGGTTAGTGCATTGAAAATCCACCCCAATTTCATTCAATTATCACTAGGATACTTTACAATAGGGGGGTGGACTATTTTTTATTTCTTAAATAGAATCATTACTCAATTACCTTAACATCCATATTTTTTTAGATTTTTTTGATCGATTTTAAGGTGCTAAGTCATCAATATTGCCACGGTAATTTTCAAACGGCTAGAAATTTCCGCAAATAAAATCTGACGTCACGATTTCGTAAGAAGGGGCAGACCATAGCACAGTTGCCATATATGATGAAGTACGAATGAGAACTTCAGAAGTAGTATTTTCAAAATAATGTATGCATTCTCAATTATGTATTGGTAATATTCTGAATAAGTCATAAAAATAGTTACTTGTTTTACTAGGCAGAAAAGCACAAGATTTAATGCCGCGGCTGGCGTTTCATAGCCAAGGCGTCATTCCAAATACATCGAAACCATTGAATCAGTACAAAGTTTTAAAAATATACATTCAATAAAAAATATGGCATATATCCTCAAAGAGATTATAGCTATAACCTATTGCTAAACGAATTCGATCTATTTTGTCTTGAAAAACACCGCGACATAATCGATTCTCTTAGATAGATAGATAGATAGATAGATAGATAGATAGATAGATAGATAGATAGATAGATAGATAGATAGATAGATAGATAGATAGATAGATAGATAGATAGATAGATAGATAGATAGATAGATAGATAGATAGATAGATAGATAGATAGATAGATAGATAGATAGATAGATAGATAGATAGATAGATAGATAGATAGATAGATAGATAGATAGATAGATAGATAGATAGATAGATAGATAGATAGATAGATAGATAGATAGATAGATAGATAGATAGATAGATAGATAGATAGATAGATAGATAGATAGATAGATAGATAGATAGATAGATAGATAGATAGATAGATAGATAGATAGATAGATAGATAGATAGATAGATAGATAGATAGATAGATAGATAGATAGATAGATAGATAGATAGATAGATAGATAGATAGATAGATAGATAGATAGATAGATAGATAGATAGATAGATAGATAGATAGATAGATAGATAGATAGATAGATAGATAGATAGATAGATAGATAGATAGATAGATAGATAGATAGATAGATAGATAGATAGATAGATAGATAGATAGATAGATAGATAGATAGATAGATAGATAGATAGATAGATAGATAGATAGATAGATAGATAGATAGATAGATAGATAGATAGATAGATAGATAGATAGATAGATAGATAGATAGATAGATAGATAGATAGATAGATAGATAGATAGATAGATAGATAGATAGATAGATAGATAGATAGATAGATAGATAGATAGATAGATAGATAGATAGATAGATAGATAGATAGATAGATAGATAGATAGATAGATAGATAGATAGATAGATAGATAGATAGATAGATAGATAGATAGATAGATAGATAGATAGATAGATAGATAGATAGATAGATAGATAGATAGATAGATAGATAGATAGATAGATAGATAGATAGATAGATAGATAGATAGATAGATAGATAGATAGATAGATAGATAGATAGATAGATAGATAGATAGATAGATAGATAGATAGATAGATAGATAGATAGATAGATAGATAGATAGATAGATAGATAGATAGATAGATAGATAGATAGATAGATAGATAGATAGATAGATAGATAGATAGATAGATAGATAGATAGATAGATAGATAGATAGATAGATAGATAGATAGATAGATAGATAGATAGATAGATAGATAGATAGATAGATAGATAGATAGATAGATAGATAGATAGATAGATAGATAGATAGATAGATAGATAGATAGATTTATTTGACATGTAACTCATACAAAAATGGTTTATAGCAAGTCAGTTTAAAAGCACACATGTATTGAAATATTATATGAAGACAAACGAACAGAATGTTGAAATACACAATGAAAAGAATACAAAGATGAAACAAACATAACATTACAAGATAGCATTCTCGATCGTATCATAAGTACATAAAATTCATAAAATTGAAGTTTGATTAAATTCATCAACCGAATAAAAACAATATCTGAGAAGGTGTTTCTTCACAGTAGTTCTGAAGCATATTTCATTCATAGATTTGACCTGATTTGGTAATTTATTGTAAAGCTTAAAGTTCAACGAATTTTTCTCAGTTTTGACTAATCTATAGCGAGGCACAAGTAAATCATTTGCATCAGCAGACCGTGTGTTGTGATGATGAAGGCTAGAAACTTTTGGAATGCTCAGCCTTCTGGAATGAATTTCTCTCAAATTTTGAAAGATGTAAATACGTGGAAGAGGTAAGATTCCTAACTGCTTGAATAAAGGTTGGCAGTGCTCTCTATAACCAACCCCTGCTATTAATCTTATTGCTCGTTTTTGTAACCTAAAAATTTTCATAGCTTCAACTGAGTTACCCCACAGAACAGTGCCATAGCTGATCAAAGAGTGAAAAAGGCCAAAATATATATGTTTCAACATCGTCTGATGTAAGCATTGTCTGAGTTGTCTCAGCAGAAATAAAACACTGGCTAGCCTGGTACTAAGGGAATCCACCTGATGTGACCAATTCAGAGAGTCATCTAAAATAATTCCAAGCAATTTACAATGGTTCCCTGCCGTGACTTGACTATTACTGGAAATCATGAGATTCTGATTTTTTTCTCTATTCAGTCGTAAATTATTCGCAGAAAACCAAGCCTCAGCTTCGGTCATTAAAGTTTCTGCATGATCTAGTAGAAGTGAAATATTATTGTTTGAACTAATCAAGGTTGTATCATCTGCAAAAAGGACAATTTGACACTTCTTCATCATATGATAGCAGAGGTCATTAATGTATATGATGAAGAGCAGTGGCCCCAGAACGGATCCTTGAGGGACTCCATGATGCACATTTCTCAGTTCAGATTTAGAGTTATTATTCAGGTGTACATATTGTTGTCTACCCTCTAAATACGATCTGAACAATTCTAATGGTGTGCCTCTTATTCCATAGAATGAGAGTTTTTCTAACAGGAGTTCATCTATGTTCTCCATAATTTGAAGCAGAGCATGTGTTGTGGATCTTTTACTTCGAAAGCCAAATTGTGCAGAGTGCAGTATTTCAAACTTTTCGAAATAACTTAATAATCTAACTTTCAGTAGAATTTCAATAACCTTGGAAAAAACAACAATGATAGATATTGGTCGGTAATTATTAACCTCTTCAAAATTACCTTTCTTATGAAAGGGTAAAATTTTCGTGATTTTGAAGGCACTGGGAAATTTACCCTGATAAAAACAGTTATTGATCAAATGTGTTAAGGGTTCAACCAAACTGTCTATCGATTCTTTGAGGAAAGTATCATTCAGGTCATAAGCATCCGTAGTTGATGATTTTTTCAACTTGTTTATTACTTCACTTATATGCATACAATAATTCAAAATCATATCGATTTATTCTCCTCATACTTTCCCTGATCGATTTCAATGCATATAATATTTCGCATAGCTGTGCCATTGTCGATCTAAATGAAAACCTATAGTAGGCGACCTACTAACAACCTAACTAGGCTGTCATCTAGAACGACAATGGCTGTGCCTTACACTCAACATCCGTAATATCTATGTCGGTTTATATTTATTTTAGGTTATGTATAGATAAAGGTATACTGGGTAATTCATATTCGAGGGCCACCATTGAGATCTCAGAAACTGTAGGAGATACGAAATTAGGGAGATTTTTTTATATTCCGAGTATATCCGGAGATATACGAAAAAAACAGAAATGTTGGTAAATCATTTTCATTTTGTGTCTGACGTTCTTTGTTGAAAAATATCAACATTATTAGCACATTCAAATTGCCGCTTTTTCCCTGCTATACGATGACATTTTCAGATTCCTTATCCGACGTTTCCTGTTTACGCCACCATCATCAACTTTATTTTTCTTACGGGCGCCATATTGGATTTTAATTAATAATAATACTAGCATGGTGATTATGAAAATGTCATCGTATAGCAGGGCATAAGTGGCAATGTAAATGTGTTCTAGATTTCGATATTCCCCAACAAATAACGCACATACACCTGTGAATGTTCAATAAGATGAATAAATAATTACCGGTTGGTCTTCTAACATAAATTTCTGCCCATCCCGAACACCAACAGGCACACGTTTCCTTCTCCTGTTTGATTTCTCCAGCTATCTGTTGAAGCCTCGACGAAACAGCTTCCATTTTTTCCATGGTCTTTTTAGTTTCTTCAGTGGGAGAACTGACCGAGTTGCTGTTGGATTTATCATTGGAATTCTGCCGGGATGCCCAATCGAGGTCCTCCAACTCACTACTCCCACTCCGGTTGGTTTTTGTTTTCCTACCCTCGTTCTGCACGTTACAGAGTGACCAACATTTGTCGCAGAGGCCGTTCTTGAGGATTTTCTGAGAGCACCCGCTAGTTGTTACTGTAACGAGTTTGTTGCCTATCAGCCAACACATGGACTGGCCACCATTCAACAGAAATTCGGCTACTGGTAATCTGTAAGAAATGTAACCAGAATAGTCCACTAGATATCACTTGTACAAATAACAAAGTATGTGGCCTTTGGTGTGTTGGTGGTGGTGGTCAACAACGAACAAATGGGGCAGTTTCCTGTATTGAGATATCTATTTCTCCGTGAAGTTTATTGAAAATTATTGTATGAGTATTTTCATTTTCCCAACAGGCTGAGAATTCACTTCAGAAAAATAATTCAAATAGTTTCGGCTCCTTCACCATTCTGCTTTCATTGGTGAACTGCCATGCAGGGTTGCCATCTTAGCGGTTTTGTCGCTAAATCTAGAGTTTTTAGATTTGCGACGTCTCCACATAGTCATAGCGGTTTATATGGAGATATTCTATTTTGATCACATGCATTGATGGAGACGGATTTCAATTCACATTGCAACATTCGAGACGAAGAGATAATCAGAGAAGAGAATGACAGATGACAGGGTTTTTCTTCACCATTTGTGCAACTTCTGCCACTTTTGAATATTTTTTATATTCGATATGGTTCGAAAAATTGTAATGCTTGCATGTGAAGATTTTATTTTGCCTAAATCAGTATTGGAACTTTCAACCAATGTGACTTAAAGCAATGAAGTCGCAGATCTGTATGATGAACTAGAAATATGAGTGGACATGGTTCTACAGGTCCATAATGTGTGATTATATCAAAGAAATACTTCAAATATACGACCGAGAAATAGTATAGATAATAGGAACATGTGATATACCAATATACCGAACTAATATAGTACTAAATTAAATTTTATAGGAAAATTTATATTTATTTTGTTTTTTATAATGTGCTTTGTTTTCTGAGCAGGTTCTGAATAATTAAAGTTTCCTACGATTTTTAAGCTGAATAAACTAACTGAAAATGAGAAAATTTTTTCGTATTTTTTTGCGACATTTCATGTTCAGCAGCTGGCAACATTGCTGCCATGTACACACAGAGCTAATACGCGATTTTGTTAGCGTGACTGCGACGCTGCCGTGTCCATTTATATGTTTGGGTATTGATAAATTCTGTATATGTATTGAGTGCATTGAGACTTTATTTTAATATTGAATTCTTTATATGGAATGATATTTGTAATTTGATTTCTGATTAATCGAAAAGTGTATACCAAATTATTTATGATATGCCCAATGAAATGACTAATCAGAATGAAACATAAATACATAACTTTTACTCAAAGTTGAATATTGAAATGAATAGAATCAAAATAAAATACTAACTTGAAGGGATCCTTAGTGGATTTTCTTTGTTTCCAAGAAATTTACTGAGGTACCTATGCGATGTTTTCGTTGTATTCGCACTTGTTGATTGTGATCAAGTTGCTGTGATTCAAGTTGAATTTTATCTCTATAGAGTAATTACTTCGTCAGAATGGTAATATTCTCGGATATCACTATCATTATGAGTAAGCCTTCTGATAAAGTGAAACTTTGTTTTTTCTTCTTCGTTTGCAGTTCGGGCAAGAGTTCGGGCTCGTTCCGAGTTTTGCATCTCACAGCCAAAGTTATTATGCCCATGTTCACACTAAATTCACCGTATACGTCATCATTTTCCGCCAAAATATTTCTCAATTATTGCTCTAGTTCGAAAATATAAATGATATCAATTGTCATTATAGATTACAGAAGCATAATCCTAATCAGTGTGCATTTGTAGACCTTCGTAGACATTGCGTAGCGGTGTTGTCACAAAAGTGGTTTGTAGTATTGAAGGGTAGTTCACTGTCTTTCCCCAATTTTTTTTTAGTAATTTGGGAAATTTTGTGTGAAATGGTTCGTCAGTGTCAATTGTGCGAAAAGCAGAACACTCTTTTCATTTTCCAGTTCGAATACCTTTCTGTTTACTATATTTTCATCTATATTACGGCGTTGCCATTACGAAATCGGTAAACCTAGTTATCAAAAAAGTGCGATTAGTACTCCATGTCATCCTCACGGAACTATTGGAGAAAAACAGGAATAAAATCTCCTTGATGGGATAATAAATATTCGCCCCATTTTTTCTTGTGCTCTTACTCATGTTTCATTAGAAAAAGTTCTAAATGAGTAAACGGAATTGTGTAAAAATGTCCTGATGTGTTGTTGAGAATTTATAAATCCATTGGACAGGACCTACATGAGTATTTCTTGAGCCCCTAATAGCTGATAATGTTTCAACTGCAGAGCCAATGGTTGGTCAGAGATCGAATTCCGAAACTTGAATCCTAAATAGATAAACCACAAGACCTCTGGAGAAGACAGCAATACCTTTAGTGCTCATGATAAAAAACATGTTTGATTTCGCATATATGAACTATTCATTGTATGTTTTTTTTGAATAAATTGAAATTAGATGTATCTTGTTTCACCTTTGAATACAGCTCATTCATAAACATTAACTTAGTTCAACATATTTTAGATACTTACCTTTATCCTTTTTTATTTTCAAAATATCAATCGAAATGAGTAGCAATATATGGATAACTCCTTTGATTTGGTGTGGGAGTGATGAGAAATATTTTGAAAACATGGAATGAGAAAATTAGTGTCCAATGTTTTTTGTCACTTGTAAACGATAATCAATAACTCATCTTCGATTGATGATTTAATTCTATGAAATATGGATAATTATTGCAAATTCAATTACCTTCTTGGTAAAGCATTACAAGGTGAATACGTATATCTCGCCATGAGATCTATGCAAGTCTCTGTCAGTTCCTCATAGAAAGTCATCGTTGCCAGTGACTTTTCAGAGCTCGGTCTCTGCAGAACAGGTTTATCCAATCTCACAGAAGAGACATTAGCCGATCTCCTTCTCGAGCCCTGCTCGGTCAAACTGGAGCTTCTCTTGCGATCCGAACTGTCCTGGTTCAAGTCGCTGAGGTTCTGATTGAATGTCGTTTTTGTATCTTCGAAGGGGTTCAAAACGTTCGATTGTAAACCCTATAAGTGGATCATAATCAATGCCAAACCGTCGAAAATAGAACATGATTGTGATTAAGCCATCCAACTTGGGTTAGAATCAATATGACGCTTGGTTGGCAAAGTGAACAGAAGAATAATAGGTCGAGTGCACGCTGACCGACCCTGGAGGTAAAACATTGAAACACAACCTCACTTCTCTTATTTGTTTACAAAGGAATCAAAGGATTGAAATAGTTATTCACGATATTTTGAGATACGAATTGTGTTTTTTTGGGCTATTCATTGATTCAAGGGTACCATCATATTGTTCTGTTGAACAATGCAATTTTTCAAATAATTTGTCAGCTAAATAGTGATCTCACATACTTTTAATTATATAATTTTGTCATTTCTCATTAGAATTCTTTCTGCCACTTCTGCAATAGAAGCTAATACTGCTAATAGAGTGAAAATGTCTACAACACATGATCATATTTCGTCAGCAGGTCAGGTCACACTAGTCCTCCCGTTTGATTGCACGAATCCAATCTTCTTGCCTTTTTCAGTATTGAAACGCAAACAGTTAACTCTAAGCTCAGATACACGAAAAAGCGGCAAAAACCTGGCACAATTTATGGGATAATTAAAATATGTACAGTGATGACTGTTAATATTGATGAAATCAATGACGCTATTGACAGATTATTTGCAACCTAATCTGGTTCAGTACCAATAATATTGTTACTGTGTGATGTTAACCAAAAACCTACAACTTCTCTACATTATAAACAATATTGAAATTAATAATGACAGTTGACCTTGATGACAGATTGCTGCCAACCTAATAACACTCAAAAAGATGCAAGCAATAGCTTTATTGCATGTGGTAAATTGTCAATTAGAGTTTCCACTCACATTTGTTATGAACTTGACGAAATCTTTCCTGAACGGCAAACGGCACTTCAGAAACCAAACTGCTATCACATGATGGGCTAAAGACACTATATAATGATCGTACTTGAAGGGGTTCGTATAGGGCAGGGCAATGGCGAATACAGCCCTGTACTGGTCAGCCACGAAATTCACATAGACCATTGGCAGCTGTGTTAAAGCTAGAAAATAAATAATAGGGATCAAAACTCCAAGGCATCTGCGCAATTTCAATCGATATCAATATTACTCATTGGCAATTTCAATCGATATTAATATTACTCATTCATCATAGCAATCGTACATGTTTCGAGCATTTCATTGCCACGTAGGTAGAGCATGATCGAGAATCAAGCTTTCAGCCTTTTGGGGCCTATGTACCCCTATTTTTTTGAGAAAAAAATTATAGTTGAATTTTGATATAATTTTCATAGAAGTCATAACTATTGGGACATAGGCTAAGGGCGAATTGTTTGGACGAAAATATGGGGATAGGACCAAATATGCCTCAATAAAATGTTGCTGTGAATAAAGACACAGAGCGTTTCAATCGAAAAAGTAATGACTAAACCTCGCACCAAAATTTATTCACTGACAAGAAATGTCATTTACCAGCAACAAATACCTGACAATCCAAAGCACACTTCCATAAATGAATTGCGTTTTTCTCGAAAACAGATGAAAATTCCGTGTTTAATCAAGAGTACCTACCAATATTACGTAGAAATTATAAAAAAGTTACCAGTCGATTTCATCATCAGGAATCATTCACATGGCACCCCCTCTGTAATCAACTGTAGAATAATAAATACAATAATATTCCTTGTATAAAATTTCGCCACTGTGCCGATTTTGATAACAATTGATAAATATACAGTTATCTTTTCCACAGAATTATCTCATTAAGGCGTAGTTGGTCCTATCTCCATGCCATGACACCATATGACAAGTCGTTATAGATAAATAACTACTAGATTCGTGTGCCATTCCTGCGAAACTCGCATAAGAACAGTGAATTCGGATTGATTATATCAGAGGTGGTTATGTCTTTATTGACTAGTGGTTCATAAAAGTTATTTATACACCAAGGGACCAAGATTATATCCCTAGGCTTCAGCCCCCGTGGTAAAAATATTATTTAGTACCAAGGTGTATATTACATTTTTTCACCACTAGCAATATATTTCAATCATTATAGGTCAGTGAAACTGAAATGTCAACCTATATGTCAGCATATGACAAGTAGTTATTGATATAAATACCTACTAGATTCGAGTGCCACTCCTGTCGTGAATATCGCATCAGTACAGTGAATTCGGGTTAATTAGAAACAGAGATGGCTATGTCTTTATTGACTAGTACCTTGGTAGTAAGGAGTAAATAATGGTAGGTTCTATAGCTAGTAGTGGAAAAACAAATATTCCTATAAATGATGTATACTTTTCGGAAATGATATTGCGAATGATTCAGACACTCCATCCGTTTTGCTAAAAAAATTACAAATATGTGTACAGGGTGAACAACTAAGTACGGCTGTCATCAATCATTCTTCCAACTTTGATTAGCGAAAAGCTATCATGCTGCGGTTTTCGTTGGTATGTTGAGATTTAGTTTATTTTTCTACTCACATAATTCTAAAATGGCATTTAGCGTACGGATATGTACCACGCTAAATGATCGATCAATCACGGATTGATGACCTGTGATTTATTCAAAAACTTAAACACGTTACCATGGCAGAACAATTTCTTAAACACATTACAATGGCAACAGAGTTTTTTAAGCACACCTTCAGTCGTTCGAGTCCTTTCCGGTATGTCAATTGTAGGTACTGTCAACTGTTATATTCGAATTTTGTTGCAATCAGATTTGTTCAAACAATTTCTGTTTGTATTAGAATTCTTCATAAATAATGTACGCGAAATGTAGACGAGAGTTGAAATCGAAGAGAATGTTTTAGGTAGGTAGGTAGGTACCTACATGCATATTTCTAATAACTCTAGGTAAAAATGAAACTCTCACCTTTGTGGGCAATTCATTATATGCTGAGCATGACAATACACGTAAAACACAATATTCAAGTGAGCAAAATTATGCAATCAGAATATGGATACAAACCTGAGAAATCGAAAACTTTGACACCTCAGCTAATCGAAGAGTTTTTATCTACTACATCAGATGAAATCTTATTCACAAAGGTCAACAAGCCATTTCAATAGAAATGTATGTAATGGACTGGACGCACATCTACAACCAATATAACTTATATGTGTCTCATTGGTTGCATGCAGTTGCATAGTATTATGTTCTCAATTCCCATTCCCTTGGAATTATTTTGTAGGTTGAAAGGTAAGTTAATTTAATTTTCGGAATTATGGATCTTGTGGAAGAGAGGAATTATGAGTTCGTAGAAAAGTATAGTATGTAACGCGTTTCCGCTACATTCGTGCTTAAAATACTCATTACTAAAATGACGTACACAACACTTGTTAAATAATATACTATTATTTCATCGTGTAATAATATGCATAACCAAGATTGTTGAATTCTGTTGAAGATAACCAGAGTTACATAGGTTTAGAAACCAAATTATCTGACGTTCTCCTACCACTTGAAATGAGGGAAAAAGTGTGAAACAAAAAAAAATTGGAATTTATCGAGGATCTGCATATATTTTCAGTACATCTTGTTACTACTGAATACAGAGAAAATTTCAATGTTATCTTCACTCATAGCCTTTACGCCACCTAGCGGTTATTTTAGAAACCTAAAAATATTTTCCAGTTATTTTTCAAGGTGACTTTTCTTGAGTTATATTTTTTTCAAAGTTGTACCATTATTCGTTGCTGACCGACAGCTGTTCTTAGTTGTTCACCCTGTACGTCGATCGTTATTGGTGCTGTCATTCGCATTATTTCACAACTGGACTCATTGTGCACACTCACATTCATGTACAAATAGTTCAAACGGCAAAATGTAAAACGAATTAAATTACCAGTACACAATGCGTGATCAATTTATTCCTAACCAAACGGAATTATTGAATAAATTCTTCAAAAAACTGTGTACACATATGGGCACATGATGGGAATGAAGGGAATATGCTAGCGGGTTGGAGCAAAGACAAAACATTTGAAAAAATAATGTATCAGTATACTAGGTTTGAGATATGATTGAATACTTACTAGATAAAAATTCCAACACAGGTATTGCAATGAACACTGTAGCAGATATTTTCGACAAATTCAACAAAACTTCTGGCAATAATTTCATCATAGCATCCCGCATTTCCAAAGTACAAATCGTGAGGGCAGTTATACAATGCTTGGAACTTCGAGGACCAATGGTATTGATGTTCTTCATCAGACAACATATCATCAATTGTTGATGCTTTCTATCGATATAGCTATGATAGGAGGCCAGATTGACCAAAACGAGTAGAACCAAAGCGTGAAAATCTGGTCTGGACACTTTGACGCTCAGTGAATCTGGTAGGTTGTATGACTTATCAGTAATCTAGAAATATCACAAATTGATTAAATGATGATGAATCTCACATTACACTTCTCACCATTCCACAAAGGGCATCTACTAGGAGATCCAGTTCGTTGTTGCCTTGTTTTGACAGAATTAAAGATTTATTTTGCAGGCCATTCGTCATTTCTTTCAATACCAAACCTAATACCTCCCAGTCTGAAAAAATACAAAGTTAATTTGATGGAGTACCGCAAGGATCAGTTCTTGGACCACTGCTATTTTTACTGTATGTGAATGAGATAGTTTTTTCAGACATTAAAGGTAAAATCACTTTATTTGCTGACGACACCACTTCTGACAAGAAATGTGTGAAGCTGTACTGCACACAAATGTTATGAACGATATTGGAGTAATTAAAGACTGGTGTGATTCAAATCTACTATCGCTCAATATAAAGAAAACAAATATCTTATCCTTCCATGGCAATCTACCAAATTTAGGTATGGGAAGTGAAAAAATAGAAAATAAATCATCGACTAAGTTTCTAGGTTTATACATTGACAAAAAATTGATATTCAATGAAAATGTAACATCTATGAGTAGAAAGTTAGCATCTGGATGCTTCGCTGTTAGAACTATTGCTGCAGAATTAGGATTTGTGTCTGCTAGAGCTGCATACTTTGCCCTCATCGAATCTCATTTGAGATATGGAATTGCATTCTGGGGAGTCTGCAGTGATCAGCTATTCCAGAGGAGTTTTGTCTTACAAAAACGGGCCCTAAGATATATGTGTGGAGCGAAATCAAGGGACTCATGTAGACATTTATTCAAGAATTGCGGCATCCTGACAGTAGTTGGCTTATACATCTTGGAAACAACGGCTCTGATACAAAAAAACATAGCTTCTTTAGAGCTTTTTTCATCACATTAGAACACAAGACAGAACGGACAAGTTGATAAGACCCCGTACCACTATGATCAAAGACTCCATTATTTATAATGGAATAAAGATATTCAATCATTTGCCTATTCATATCAAAGAAATTCCTTGTAACAAGAAATTCCGGACCAAGGTGAAAATATTACTCGTTCAGACTCCACTATACAACCTCGAGGAATATTTTTCACAGAGACTCTAAAATTATGTAATCCTTTCTTTCTTGATAAGTTCTCAAAAGGATCGTTTTATACAACATATACTCTATAATTATTTGACTATGGCTTTATAGGAGCTCTCACATGTGATAGTTTTATTATAATATTTAATATGTTTTATTACTGTCTATCTTTGTTGTTTTTTATTTTTTATTTTTAACTAAGGCTTTATGCGAGCTTTTGATTGTATATTTTCAAATGTGTTTCAAAAAGCTTCACATTTTGAATCGCATATTGTTTATTATTTTTCATGTAATGTATATGTACGAGCTTTGTCAACAAATACGAATGTATTTATGGCAATAAAGCATATATTGAATTGAATTGAAAAAAGGAATTTCAATTGAATATACAATTTGAAAAGGCATACAATATATGAATGTGTAGAAAATAATCCTGAATTATTGATACTTAAAGGATAAGGAATTTTGAAAAAGTATCTCAAGTCCTAGGAGGCTATGAATTGTAAAACGCATGTCAAACTAACCCAAGAAATTGGGGATTTCTCGGTAAGTCAGAAATAAATGGCTGAGTAATATATGAAAATTTATCAGCACACAGCTTCCCATAACGAGACAATATCAAAACGAATTTCATCCCCCTCTACCTACTCCTGTATTATGATCCGTGGCCACCTATTGTATATTTTCTGAACCTACAACCCCAGTTCCAATTTCATGAAAACGACTCCATATATTGAGAATATGAAATTCTCGCAACTGACAGACTGTTCAGAGATTCGGTGACATCCGTTTTATAACATATTAATAATTTATGGCTCTGATTGGACAGTTCATTTGGTGTTAATTGTTTTGCAATGCCTTTATGATTCTCAAAAATCAATATAATCATGATATCTCAGTCTTTCTATCTAATGGAATAAAGGTGAGCGAACATATTCACAAGCAGTAGTGTGTCCTATGTAAACAAATAAAAAAACTCAAGTAATGGTTGGGCTTCACTCTAACGTCTATTTTTACGCACAAGTTTTACATTGACAGAGGGTCAAATGAAACGAAAGAAGTAGTATTCATAGTAGTAGCAGTGGAATCTCACTAGCCCGCTCTGATAAGACATTCAAAACATGTAAGCTCTCATTACATCGAACAGAACGACGGTTTTGGTTAGCTATCATCACAAACATTGAAGGGCTAGGGGCAAGAAGGAATTGTTTCAATACATATAAGTTGTTTCTAGATGTTCACATATAAGTTGTTTCTAGATGTTCTTGTATGCTTGGTATAGTATTTCCTCATGATCAAGAGTATTGATTCATCTCGAAAGTTATTTTTTATTTCTGATATTTAAGGTCATAACTAATGTTTCAATTTCTATGAGCAGTTCCATTTTTTATCAGAGGAATAAGTAACAAATCAGCACGAGATCGTAAATTCTATCACTCCAACTTTGGATTGTATCCCAGGTATGGTGAGACTTTGTTGGATACTCGATTCTGAAGTGTTGTGCTTTGTTACAACATCAGAAAGCTTCGATTTCTATTGATTTATTCCAGCTACAAAGGCAGAAAGAGTATGATTTGTGGAAAAAACTACCAATTCACAAACGTTTGACGCTATCAAACGTTCCTAAATTCCCTTGGAATCTGAAGTGGAGCCACAGGGACAGACCGAAAACAAAATTTATTGATGACAGTGACGACTTCAACTTATTTTCAAATCGTGAACGTTATTTTTTAATTGTTAACGTTTACGTGGAAGTCTAATTACTTCAACTCTCTAATATCAATGTGGATTTGGTAAACAAATAGGTACCCGAACTGTCAAAGAAAACATGATGTTCTGAATTTACACTGAATTACACAGAGAACTGATGAAAATCGAGAAAACAACTTTAAACTATCCTTCAAATCTACAAACGAATGCCGAAGCTGTCAAATTGTAAAGTATAGACACACCACATCATACGAGAAAGAAGCCGTTGTCGCTTTTGATGATGCAACAGGAGGGAGTAATTCTTTGAATATTGTTCAGCGGGAGCAACATTGATACAGTGTCGCCACTAATGTTAATGTAACAGCAAATTCCATGGACATGTCAATTATAATTACAAAAGTATCTTCATAATATTATAAAATATGACATACTTTCGAGAAAAAAAGTGATTCAAATCCCTTGCCGGAAGCTTGCTTAAGAAATTGACAAGACTAACCTTTTTCTAACTTCAGACAGCTCAAAAATACTTTGAAGGCGCCTCTAACGGAGACACTTGTCACAGTGACAGGTAATTGCTGTGTGGGAGCTGGCGATTGCGGTATTGGTGATCCCAATGATCCTCTGTCGATATTTTGATAGACGACGCACAAGTAAGAGCTAAATTTTATCTTCCCATCTTGCTCGTAACCCAAGTGATAGAGGGAATCGGCTCTCATTTTCAAGAAACAATCAAAGATCTAAAATTCAATATAGGTCAAAGGAAGATAGGAATCTCCACAAATTTAAATACACAATACGGGACATTTTTGGATCTTGGAAAATAAAATCTTCAGACTAAAAAAATTCAACAATACAAAAAGATTTTGATGTGGTAATTACATAATTTAATGTTGTCTTACTTGGAATTGAAAAAATAAAATTACTAAATAGTCAATCTGCCTGTCGATGCCCATAGTCAAAAACTCTTTTTACTTTACTTTTAATGTCAATGAAGTGGTTCTCAAGGGCCTGAATGGCCCATGCCTGAGAGCGCGTACTATCATAAATCAAATATCATACACCGAAATGTTATATGAAGGGAAAATGCCAAACAATTCCCGGCATCAACATAATTTGAAAAACGGGTGTTTTCCGTTTATCATATATCCCTTACTTGTATTCTCCCTCCTCTCTCCTCATTCATTAAAGGGTTGTTAATCTTATCTAAAGTTTTATGCCTAGTATGTCGCAATTTCATGTTTAACCCTCCGATCTTGACTTATGTTAATGTCTTGTCTATGTCATTTGTTTGAATTCATTTTTCTGTTCCTAGACTCTCAGTTTAGATTTAAATACGTGTAGGCTGTTTGCCCCACCAATTTTATTGATATTTTCCATCATAGTTAGCGCTCTTATAAGGGTAAGTGGCCCTTTAGGTTGAGAAAAACCCGCCTTTCCTAATTATGTTGTCAGGACCTGTTTGGCATATTCCCAGAAAAACTTATATCAATGTCTTGTCTATGTCATTTGTTTGACTTTATTTTTCCGTATTTCTAACCTTTCAGTTCAGTCTTAAACACGTGTTGGCTGTTTGTCCCATCAATAATTTTATTGATATTTTCCATTAAGTATAGTTAGCGCTCTCTTAGGGGTACGGTGCCCTTATTTTGAAATAGCCAGCTTTTCCAAATTATGTTGTTGTCGGAAATGGTTTGGCATGTTCCCTACCGTTTTGGTTTATTAAGGGCACGGGACCCTTCATTTATTAAGAACCCGACAGACAGATTCAGCAGTTAGAAATTTTATTTTTTCAACTCCGAGTAAGTATCAATACTAAATTAAGTAATTCCCTCGTCGTACTGCAGAATTTTTATTAGCCTTTTCTAAGACCGACGCATGGACTTTGAGTATCCCTTCCTTCCTTTGAAAATCCCACTCCACTTTGAGCAATACGTTTTATATAGGTATTTCAAAAAGTAAAGTGAATGTTGTTGATTCTTCTAATTTTCTTACCATTCGTCGAACGGTAGGACAGTTTTCAAAAACTTTCGTCCGGCCATAGTGAAGTTCCAGAAAATTCACAAACATTTTATAAATTTTGATAGCATGAGAAGATGGTAGTTTGTGTATTTTCAAAGTGAACACTTTGATAAGACCTTCAACCAAACATTTAACGTCTAGATGTTCTGACTCATGGTTCTGTGGATTGTCTGGTAAATGGTTTTCAAAAGGCCTGTGCAATATCTGTAAATATAATTGGGTTTATTTATGTAAAATATAAAGATTGTCTCGCTTCAACTGCAGTCACAATGATATTTTGGAGTAGGAAATATAGAAAGTTATTCCTACTGGAAGAAAACAATCAGGAGATTTATGAATTATGATATTTCTGAATCACATTTTCACGTCATATAGTGATTTGAAATAATCCCAGAATTAGAGATGTTATATATGATATATTTCACTCAATAGCAATAATAAAGTAGTCGAGAATAAATAAGTAGGTTGCATGGATGGAAGTGGTCGCTTCACACTAGTGAGCATGCCAAATATAAATAAAAAATAAACTATGCAACACTAATTTCGTCGTACCCCAAAATTTCGCCTCTGTTGAAATATGAATAACTTTTTTCTGCTTTGAACGATTTGAATTCGGATCACACTGTTCGCTGACCCAGTCCTTCAGCTATAATCTCGTAATTTTTCAAAACATAAGGTTCTCCACATAAAATCGCTACAGGGTGTTAACTGAAACTGTGCAAAATTTCGGAAATTTCAAAAGTATCCCAAATGAAGAAACACTTTTTTTTAACTTTGACAGTAGAGGCATGCAGATGATCTTATTATCTTATGACAGTTCTCAGAGTGATCTCAAAAAATTAACTTATTGGTTTTGCAGTCATAACTTTTTGAAGTCTCAGGCTCATTTTGAAGCTTAAAATTCAGATGAAGAGATATAAAGATCAGAATTGACTCAAGATGAACATTATACAGTGTGTCTCACTTCTAATGGAAGCATCCCTGTATCTTTCGTAATTGTTGAGTTAGGATTCTGAAATTGACAGCAGCGGTAGATATACTGAGAATAAACCCTATGACCAAGTCATGCTACAATGTTTAAATTCAGAAATCGATTGTCTGATTCTTACCGAAACTAGAGATATAATCGACATGAGCACTCTCAACATTCAAGGTTATAACATGATATACAATGAAAGTCATTTTAATCAGAATGATGGAGTAGTCGCTTATATTAAATCATGTTTCAATTTCTCATATGAAACGGTAGTAGTATGTAATGAAATGAAGGCCCTTCAAATAAAACTGAATCTAGACATAGAAAATACTATTAACATCACAGCCTTATATAGATCCCCAAATTCTCATCTACAAGAGTTCAATAGACGGTTCTATAACTTCCTTGAAAACTGTGATGATACTAATGCTGATGTAACACTTTTTTTAGGAGATATAAATATTGATTTAACAAAACCCGAAGATAACGAAACTGCCGAATATTTGAATACTTTGAATGGATTTGGATATATATCTACAATAAATGCGCCAACCCGAGTACAGAATAATAGTAAAAGCTGTCTTGATCACATCTTCATTAAATCTAAGAATCCTAACTTAAATGAGAAAATAATACCAATTATACTCAAAACAACGATAACAGACCACTACAGTACTATACTACAAATTGTGGTTGGTACAGAACCGAAAATAAAAAAAAGTGGTAACAAAACAATTATGAAATATATCAATGAAAACAAAATACATGACGAATTCAGAAAGATTAGGTGGGATAATGTATACTCTGCTCCCAATCCAAATCATGCGACTAAAATACTCATTGATATTATTGTCAATACAATAGACGTATGCACAGAGAGAAGACAAATAAACAGAAAAAACACAAAAATAGCCCCTTGGGTAACGAATGGTCTCCTGAATTCTATTAATAGAAAGAACGATATGTTCCGTCTGTTGCACAAACAGCCTCATAATGATGAATTGAAGACAGAATTCAAAAGGTATCGGAACAAGTTAACTTCTATAATAAACAAAACGAAATTCAATTTTTACAAACAGCAAATAGACAACAATAAAAATAACTCCAAACAACTGTGGAACGTAACTCAACAAATATCTAAGTCAAAAAAACATAATAATTCTGTAGTTCAAATAAAACATCATAGAACTGGTGAAATCCTTACTGAAAAAAGTCAAATTGCAAATATATTCAATATTGCTTTCTCAGAAACTGGAAGAACTCTTGCAGGCAAGATAAAAACTAACCCGCGTTTCAAAATGAATAGAGTATCTCTTGCAAACTCATTCGTTTTCGAAGAAATAAGCCCAATGGAAATAAAAAATACGATTTTGGAGCTTAAAAATCGGAAGTCTGTGGGAATAGATGATTTGAAAGCTGAAAATATAAAATTAATTTCTAACTACATCTTAGATCCCTTAACTCACATTCTAAATCAATGTGTAAATCATGGTATCTATCCCGAAGCTTTCAAAAAATCCATTGTCATTCCTCTATTTAAAAAAGGTGATATATCAGAAATAACAAACTACCGTCCAATTTCATTAGTAACCCACCTCTCAAAAGTATTTGAAAAAATCATTAAGAAAAGACTCAATTTGTACTTAAAAAAATATAATATAATATCAAACAATCAGTTTGGATTTAGAGAAGGCATTTCAACTCAGGACGCTATCTTGTCATTGACTTCAAAAGTAGTCGAAGCTCTAAATGAAAGCAAGCCATCTCTCTGTGTATTCATAGATCTGTCAAAAGCATTTGACACTGTCAGTCATCACCTCCTTCTGCAGTCCCTAGAAGATATTGGAATACGAGAGAACATACTGAAATTATTTGAGAGCTACTTGACCGAAAGGTATCAAATGGTAAGAATTGACGATACTTTGAGCAGTGATCAGGTCATCGACTGTGGAGTACCTCAAGGCTCCGTGTTAGGTCCAACATTATTTAACATTTATATTAATGGATTGTTTTCTCTTGGTTATGATCAAAATATTGTAGGATTCGCAGATGATACAGCCATTTTCTATAAAGCAAATGACTGGAGCGCACTGAAATGTAAAGTTGAAAATGACTTCTCTCGAATCAAGTACTGGCTAGATAATAAATTACTTACTGTGAATATTGAAAAAACGTTTTATATTCCATTCTGTTGCAACTCCTCCGGAATGCCCCCCTTCAATCGGCTAATTATTCGCACTGACATACCCTTTCAGATTCTATCCGAAAAGAAAATAAAATATTTAGGAATTATAATTGATCCCCATCTGAAATGGGACCTACACATACAATACACAGTGAACAAGTTGAGGACGATATTGTTTAAATTCAGGAAACTTAAAAAACTCCTACCAGTGCATTGCCTCAGAACATTATATCATTCACTTGTGGAAAGTCATATACGTTACGGAATAGCGGTATGGGGAGGAGCCTTGAAAACTCATATTCATAGTCTTGAAGTTATACAACGACACTTTATTAAATTGATTTTCTCGAAAAAAACTAGATATCCTTCAGATAATCTCTATGCAGAGACTCAAATCTTAGATATAAGGCAAATGTATTTTCTATGTTCTAGTATCAAATATCATGGGAATAAACATAGCGCATCACTTCCTGCCCATCAATATTCTACACGTCAAAAAAATCATTATATTTTGCCTCGAATGGTGAGAGTGGTTACCCAACATTCATATCTCTACTTCGCTCCAAAACTTTATAACTCTCTTCCTGAAAGGATAAAATCAATTACAAATACCACATTTTTTAAAAAAGAGCTGAGGAAATATTTACTACAAAGTGGAAGAATCGATTTGTTAAAAATGTTCGAATAGCTGTGATAAAAAAAAATTCATATATTATTATTTATTATTAGTATTGATTCAGTAGTAGTATTCTTATGTACTAGTTCGTTATGGTAATGTGTATGTTATTTTTTGAGAAATAATATTGTTTCTTTTTTTTGTTTTAGTATCATACTGAGACTTGTTATACGAAACAAGTATATCTAAATGTACTTATCGTATTATACTCAACTTTATTATTATTATTAATACTGTTATCTCAATGTAAGTGTATTGTACAAGTATTATTATTATTATTATTATTATTTTCATCATTATTATTATTACTACAGTATATTGTGTGTATATCTATATATGATAATAAAGTTCTATTCTAAGTGGAGTAACCTCGAGTGATATACACTGCTCGTTAACAGCCATGGAAACACCCACAAAAATGATATGAGGAGACAAGATAGGTTGAAAACCACTTCGAATTCAAAATCAAGACGTCCCTTTCGCTTCCTCCTGCAAATTTCAGAATCCTACCTCAATAATTACGTGAGATACAGGGGTTCATCTATGAGAAGTACGACAAAATTTAATTTTCCTGACCTGAAAATTTTCCAGGAAAAATATGTATAGTCAGTGAAGTGGACGTCCTGATTTCGAATCCGAAGTGATTTTCAACCTATCTTGGCTCCTAATAACATTTTCCGGAAATGTGGGTCGTTCCAAGGCTGTTGGCAAGCAGTGTTATTGTCATTGGAGATGACTCCATTTGGTCATAGTGTTTATTTGCAGTATATCTCCAACTCCTGTAAGTTTCAGAATCCAAACTCAACAATTACGAGACACACTGTATAATGTTCACCTTGAGTCAATTCTAATCTTCATATCTCTTCACCTGAAGTTTCAGCTTCAAAATGAGATTTTAAAAACGGGTTGACAAGGAAAAAAATTATGACTGCAAAACCAGAAAGTAAATTTTTTGAGATCACTCTATAAATGAAAGAGATAAGAAGACAATTTGAAAAATATCCTTAGGTTATGAGATAATCTTCATGCCTCTGCTGTCGAACGTGAAAAAGTTCTTGTTTATTTGGAATTCTCTTGAAAATTCCGAAATTTTTCACAGTTTCAGGTGACACCCTGTAGCGATTTTATATGAAGAATCTCATGTTTTAAAAAAATACGAGATTATAGCTGAAGGACTGGGCTAGCGAACAGTGTGATCCGATTTCAAATTGTTCAAAGCAGAAAAAAGTTATTCATATTTCAACAGGGACAAAATTTTGGGATGCGAAGAAATTAGTGTTGTGTAGTTTAGAATTGTGATTATATCTGGATGAGATAAGTGAAAATGAAAAAGCTTGCAGATTCTATAATTTAAAAATGCCTAATGAAGGTTTTTAAGATGTTGTATTTCATCATCAGCATAAATACCACATGATGTGTATACATCCTTTTTTGCTATTCACTCCAAAATACGAAGGGGGTAACACCTGAAGCGAAACGTACTGTATACATTTTATGGTACCATACCTTTTCTAATATATCTAGCAATTCTAGGCATTTCTTCGACTCACATTCCAAGCATAAATCAATCAACATGTTAGCAACAGATGACCGTACAATAACATCATTACATTGTGTGATATTCACGGTATGTGGTATGACAATACGGTCTATCAGTTCTTCTTCATACTGCCTCCTTCAAATTTAATGATATGACAAAGAGAAATGACGAGAAATAAGATAATTGGAAAGCTAACTCACTGTTATTTCATTTTTTGAAAACAATGTTTAGTTACGTTATGTTGCCAGTAGCAAAATAAAAATATTTAATAATCATAGTGGGAAAAACTCTTAAAGTTACTGTTTTAGATGAATTTATGATTATGAAATAGTGTGTGATATGTATTGAAGCTGCCTCAAAAAAGAGGATGGGGATACTTCGTCGGCTTTTTCTAGCACAGATATTGAAAAGACCCATCATGAGTCATGAGGACAACATTTGGGTCAGTCTGTATACAAGTCGTAGTATTATAACGTTGAATGGATTTTCCTGTGACTACTCTGATTGAACAATTTTCTTTACCTATCGTATTTCATTTCAAGTACCATGCATATCAACTTGTAAATGATCGTGATTTTTTATAATTATTGTAAGCTTCTCAGATTTCTGTGTCTTATGTTAACAATATGATATTTTTAATCCTTCAGTACTCGCGCGGGGTATCTTATTACCCCAGAGGCCATATTCTATTGAGTATATTGGTGGGGGTACCGCATAGTCTCCTGCCGTTCCATATATTCTTCAAGCTCAGTATTGAGATCAGTTTGCTAGCGTGTGGTTGTGATTGAATCAAGGCTGTGTGTGAACAACGACATTGAAGTTGATTGGGGTATTCAGATACCCCGTGCGAGTACTCGTGTAACATTTCTGGTAAGTACAACATTCATGTATGACGTGATTTAATTAGTATTTTTGTTCCCAAACACAGTTCATGAGATGGAAAATAAGCCGAGTAGAGATCCACAACAGTGGCTGAGATGGTAAGAGGAGATTGAAGCCGAAGAGGAAGATGTGATATATGGTGAAGAGGATCCTGGTGAATACGAGGATGATGTATTCCCAGAACCACCAGATGAGCACACTACAGATACTGAGCAAAACGTAGAAACTGAAGAAGATGAAACAACTGATATCGAAGAACCAATTGAAAAAATATTGCAGCTGAGCTGGTTCGGCCACAAATACTCAGAAGATTTTATATGTTCAAAATATCCCAAAGAATATAAGACAACGTGGGATGATTCTTCTGAATGTTGAGGAAACATCGTCTTCTAGAGAAACAGAAGATACAGAGGCTGGTCAAGTTGCGAAGAGATCAAGGGTTGGTAAGGGAAGGTGTTACCTATGTCCCATAAAAGCCGACAAGAAAACCCCAGTCACCTGCTTGAACTGCAAAAGTTGGATATGTAAGAGCCATCAAAAGACTGTTTGCAAAAATTGTATAAACAATGAAAGAATCTAGAAAGCAATATCGATTAGAAAAATGACAATGTATTTAGTATTTTGTTCAATATCCTTTTTTTATTATTCAGATATATGATCATTTTCATTGTAGAAGGTTCCAAAGAATATATTTTGATATGTTCAGTACGCAAATTCATTTTTTGTAATTCATATAACTAATTATACAATAATTTATAATTGGGGTATCATAGTAACCCACGCGAGTACTAACGTAAGAAATATTGATGCGAGTACTTAGGGTTAAGATAACATGAAAAGCTTGTCCCATACATACATTGTACTTTTTCAATATGAGATTATATGACATATTATCATGATTTATGACTTTCTTCAGGTCTTTGAACAGTTTATTAAGATTTCAATGTCTTTCTTTCTCTCTATGATAATATGACATTTCATGCCTCACCATATTAGAGTGATCATTTTGAAGAAATAACTTGATGGTTCAAATTCCACATTGGAAATATTGAACATGCAGTAAAATACATATACACACTAAATTCCTTTCTATTGTAATTATATCCGAGAACTCAAGAAATAAATAGTTGTGCAGTGATCTGTACGCATTTTACAAGGGGTTATTACTGGCTATTCAACCGCATGGTAGGACTAAACAATTTTTTTTATTATTCACCAATTTGTTTTGTCTCCAAACTTGGACTACGTTAGCTCATTGAGCGATGAGGAAGAGACAAGACTTAGGTTTCAATTCTATTTTCCCCGGGAAATCGGAACACAACACAACAATTTGTGCAGTTTCTTACACTTCATTACTTGCTGAATCAGTAAGATCAACCCTCAAATTCAGATTCAAGTAAACCGATGAAAATTGTAAGTCCACATGAACCATCTTGGCTCTTGGTAATTGGGAGTTAGCTGTCCAATTATCAGATATGACGTTATCAATAAACATTGGAAATCTACCTGTTTAGTTTAATAACGTTAGAAAGAATATCCAACACTTTGAGTCTAATATTTGTCCGTATTTCTGGTCTGAAATACTTGTGCAACAAATTATAGAGATTTGTCAACCATAAATGCTCTGTTGGTACGATATCTTGTGAGTAGAACGTGATCAGTCTTAGAATAGAACTTTCAAGTCGATCTGACGAACATTCTTCGATGACGCTGAAGAACTGTTTGAGTGAACCGTTGAAACTGTCGATTTCCAAAAGATTTTCTATAGAATTGAGTGTTCCATGAAGATGTGTCACAATCAGTTTATTTGGTATTTGATTCGAAGCAAGATCTGAAACATGCAAGAACAGATAACAGAAATTTCATATTTTGCCACAATAACAAGCTGATTCATGAAAACTGTTGGTAAGCTAAATTGTAAGATTGAATTGATCAACTTTTGTGAAAGTTGGAGGTATCGCAGAATGGATGGAAAGCTCTCTGACTCCCAGGAATTCCACTTATACCAGAAATGAGCCACAACATCGTCATTCTAAATGAAACAACCTGTATTTTATGGCATAATAAAAATCAACGGTTCATATTAATCAGTTACACATCAATCAATGCAATCTTCCAATTAACCATATTATTATTTCACTCGGAAAGGGTCTGAGGCCATTGTCGATATAAATGAAATCCTAGTAGGCGACCTAGTGCGAGGAGGTACAATGGTCAGACATTTTGTACTATTTATTACCATTTGTGGAATGCATTGTCAAGAAGTTGTTCTTCTCACATTATAAATTGTCTAACCTTTAAAATATGGTCAATTCGGCTAATTTACCGTTTTTATGAACCCGTTTTTTTCATTAGGGTCCCTTGTAGCAAACTGACGTATTTGTCATCTAACAGGGTACGGACAGATCATAGCTCCTTTCAATTTTAATCATATAGTGACTTTGGTTTCGTGTATTGGCGTCCCTGACATCACATTGCTGTCACATCACATTCATATGCGTTGAAAGAGATCTTACAAAATTTTAATTTCATACTTGATTTTAATACATAGCTCCTTTCATCCTTCCCCTTTCTCTTTTAATCATCTAGTGACTTTGGTTTCGTGAATTGGCGTCCCTGACATGACATTGCTGTCACGTCACATTCATATGCGTTAAAAGAAATCTTACAAAATTTTAATTTCATATTTGCTCTTAATACATAGCTCCTTTCATCCTTCTCCTTTCTCTTTTAATCATCTTGTGACTTTGGTTTCGTGTATTGGCGTCCCTGACATCACATTGCTGTCACATCACATTCATATGCGTTGAAAGAGAACTTGAAAAATATTAATTTCATACTTGATGTTAATACGACATTATTCAATTCTATTTTGGAAGGATGGTAAAATATGCAGCGTTAGGCTGTATCAATTAGTTGGATGGCAAATTTGAATTTGTCAGCTTTCCATCAAATGTAAATGAACTTAGAACATAGAAGTGAAGTGAGCGAATGGGGAAAATTGGTAAATAAATCAGCAAAATATTCGAGGTAAACCTAATACGAAATCAAATATTATCATTTCTCATTGTGCCTATAATTATCCACTTCACAAGTTTTTGAATGCATTTTAGAAGAAACACTTTTGATTAAAATGAAGGATCAAAAGAAGAGGCATATGCCCTACCATTTGAAAAATTATACCTACATTCAGAAAATATTAATTGTTCGTGAAAAACTGCAAAAATGATTCCCAACATATACATATACAGCACACATGACATATGAGCACAATAGTTTAAATACCTACATAAAATGTCTCACCATTTCTCAACCATAAGGCTTAGTCTGAAATCAAAAGTAATTCATTGATAGGTACTGCCTAAGAACATTTGGTAAAACATATTGAACTTTCAGAAACATTTGCTCACTGCCTCACAAAGATTATGCTGAAGTTGAAACATCGAAAACTCGAAAATTATCATCATCATTCGGATATAATAAACATGTGGAAATTACGTATGATACGCCAATGTCCTCAATAAAACCTAAAAAACACCAAAAGAAATCTAGTGTTTATCCCCAGAAATGAATAGATATGGAACTATATAACTGTTTCACAAACACTTTTGAGGGAGAGGAGACGAGGATCTGTTCCGTACCCTATTGAGATGACAAATGCGTCAATTTACATGAATTAGTTATATGAAGAATAATGAATCAAGAACTTGAGAATGAAATTACAGGCTGAAGAATCCAAGTTGATGGATAGTTGTTGTTATTTTCTTTAAGATTAATAATTATATTTTGATGCTTTCCTATATCAGGTCAAAATTGAACTTACCAATGTTATTAATAATATAAGATATGATTTGCAGTAAAATTGACCAGGCTGGATCCTGTAACTCACGTCCATGTCTGTTCACCAGATCTTGTAAACCCAATATAATCTCATAAGCTACAGTTACTTGATTCCCTTTCAGAGCCTAAAACGGAAACAAAGGAAAAAATGAAATTCATTTTCACTAGACGGATGAGGTCATTCTCACTTGTAAAAATGATGGTAATACAGAACTAGGGGGACAATGTAGGTTCTGGACGGGTAAAGAGCCCCAAAGTGCCATATGGATATAAAATACTGCCCCCCTCAGGAGGTCTGTGTCAGATCTCAAAGCAGGTTCCTGTAATATGCGACACATGGTAAAAAGGGCCGAATGTCCCATGTGGGTTCCCAGGAGATTCTTCATAATCTAAAAATGTATCAATAACGTTTACCAAAGCAATTTTTAATTGACATTTCATACACTATATAATAATATACAGGGTGTCCAAACTAAATAAACTATTGGGTATTGAATAAGTCTGAAAGTTATTTCACTAGACTTGTACAGGGTGATTCACCATAAATGCCACTTCCCCCCCTCTAGCTCACTCATTTTTGAACCGATTCCAACAGTTGAAAAATTATCTGAAATGTTTAATCCGCTACATAGAAAATACAGGAAGCTCGGGACAAACGATCTAGAGGGTACTTGTTGATTTTTCCGAATGGGACACCCCGTATTTCATTGCATTTTCAGATTCTGCCTGGAGAGCTGATTTCTTCAATGCATCAATGGGTCTTGCGGGAATAATTACAGAGATAAAGGGTGTTCAAAATCAAGATTTTTCAATTGTGTCAAAACGACTCACATGTCATATCTTAACTTTTGATTTAGTATCTACTGACATTCAATCGGAACAACACAGGGTGTTTCAAGATTTAGAATTCTGATCACCCTGTATCTGTTCCAATTATTGAATGTCATTAGACAGTGAATCAAAAGCTGAGATAGGGACATGGAAGCCATTTTGACCAATAATGAATAGTTTGGACACAAAAAAATCTTGAAGTTTAAAAATCTCGATTTAAAATACCCTATATCTCTGTAATCATTCCCGCTAGACTCCAAATGTGATGCATTGATGGAATCAGCACTTCAGGGACAATCTAAAAATGCAATGAAATACAGGGTGTTCCAATTAAAAAGTAATGAGAGAAAATTTATCGAAAATCATTTCAAATGATTCTTCAAATTTTGGAATCAGTTAAAAAATAACTGAGCTAGAGGTGGAGCCTTTATGGTGAAACACCCTGTACTAAGGACAAATCAAATGATTTGTCTTTGTCCCAAAATCACTGCGCCTAAAATTTCACTACTAGAAACCTAGAAAAGAGAAATTCAATTGATTCTCAGTGACACTTTATAAAAAGAAGAAATACAAAAAACTCGACATACAAATTTGCTTCAGCATTTGAAACATTGGAAGTTAAACGGCCCATTCACCACAGATATAATTCTAAAAATCAATCGGTCGCGAAGATTTGTAGTATGTTGTATGTAGCCCACAAACATTCTATTGTTCCTACAGTGGTCACTTTGTTATACAAGGTGTCCCATACGAACGTATAATAAGTTTTACAGGGTGAACTAAAGACCAAAATAGATCGATAAGAAAATGCACCGTTCAGCCGTATTCTGTCATATTGAATTTGTTTAATGTGTAATTGCATTCTATTTAAAGTTTCCATTGAGTAAGATTCAAATGTGCAAGCTTAAGCCAATTTATTTTATCTCTCACGGGAAATATATTTTTTTCTCCCGTGAGAGTAAATTGACAGATTTGTGTCCTTAAACAAGAGAGCAAACGCATACTTTCGATGCAGTAAGTAGATAAAAAATATTATTATTCTCCAAATTCGATGTATAGACCGTTTTAGGAAGGTGTTGAAGTCTGCATCAGGATTCGACGGAGTCTGTCACTATCCGTGATCAAGGATTAATCAAGATTGAACAGGGATAAATATGATTCTTGAGATGATAAGGAACATATGTTTCATACCTTCCAGCTAGACATACAATAGTCCTCTATGTTAACAGTCCTGCACAAAGCCCCGATGAATTTTGGCAGAGATTCTGGCGACATGTTACTGTAGGCAACGATTGTAGACATGATTTGCAAACATGAATTCACAGTTTTATTATTACTTGTGCTACAGCAGAGAACACAAGTATGCCTGAAAAAAAAATCAAACAACGTATAGTACTCACAATTACTTGAGCAAACAAGAGCGATGGTTAGTCAAATGGAAATATAACAAAAATCCAGAAAAATAGTTAATTATTATTCAAGGGATAAAGTAGTAGATTTTAGCTCCAGGTTGTGTTGTTCCAAAAAAACACTGAAATTCTGGATTCTCAATTTCATTTTTTCTGTGATTAATTTTTCCCGGGTACATATTATATACACTGTTGATGGCTTTTGTTGTGCTAATTCTGAAAAATAAGCCAACAACACCGTCTCCGAGAAAGAACTGCAAGTCCTTTTATCTTCCACTCTACTTCGCGGTTACTTAAATTACTAAAGAGCCACTCAGGTCACTTTTTTTGTATCAAATCACATAATTAGACTGTCAGATATTTGATTACTTCAAAAAAAATATGAAGCTACCAGCAAAAAGATCCCTGCAACGCAGGTGTAATTCCAGTAAGGAACTTAAAATTTCACTACAAAAATTTTCTGATTTCAATATAATGTAATATATTTTCAATATTGGTTCGTCTTTATTCGTCTCAGGAAAAAGCAGTGTATCATACATGGGAAAATATTAGATTTTAGCTCCCGAGGTTGTGTTGACAAAAAACCGCCAACTTTGTTCCCTTGTATAATATGTAACTATTATCTCATCAAAGTTCACAATTCACAACTGAAATACTTCGGTAATAAAACAGCATTTACCAAATATTCAGAACAACCTTAAAGTTTCTTACAGGGAATGAAATTCGCATCAGATATGCTTCGAATAGATATGGCATAGACAAATCATTTTGTAGGAATGGAATGGAAGAGGACAGTTTTTTGAGACCGCCCAGTAAACACAAACATTCATGTCTCGCTAGGTAACAATGCGAATTACAAGAAAACATCATTAATATTGCCAGGGGACTCTTTATTTTATGAAACATTCGCAATATTCGTCACATTTCATTGGATTTGATACTCAAAATCTAGGTGAATTTGTGAGGCTCCCTAACAACCAAAAGACTCACAGAAACCTCACATTCTTGTCTATTCATGTAACAAACCGAATCAATCAATTTTGATGTAGTATGACATAATACGTACTGTGAGTTTCATTTGGCATCATAATGTGAATCATAGAATGACCAAAAGTGTCCAGAATAGCAGTCATTGTGATTTCAGTGGACTCTCATTTCCAGTCACGGGTGTGATGTGTGGCATGAATGTGATGCCCTATAATATCTCTAGGATCAATCTGTGTTAACTGGGGGGTTATATTCGGAGTAGATAGGAAGTAAAAATTCTAAGTCTCCGAACTTACAATGAGCTAAGTGCAGGAGCGACGTCGAAGCTCCATTTATTTGATTCTATCAATTCATTCAAAATTGTTGCTGATGAAATTGTCTACAAAATTGTGACAGTAAGTTTTTTTCCTATCTTTCATAGTCATCGAGATATTCGCTAGCGATTCATGTAAATTCGAATCCGAAGTGATTTTTCAACCCTTTCTATCTCTTTCCTGCTAATGTAATCTTGCGGAAATCTAGGTGGTTCCATTTCCGAGGCGTGCAGGGTATATTTGCATATTTTCTAAAATTATTGCAATTATTTTGAAAAATCAAATTCAGAATTACTTTGAATTCAACAACTTTCTGAATAATAGTCAATTTGAATTTCCCAAGAATGAATCGACATCACAGGCTCTGATGAACGTTGTGAGTGAGATAGTCGAGGGTCTTGAAATGGGAAATCATACTGCCATCACCTTGTGTGACCTAACCAAGGCTTTCGATTGTGTCTCTCATAATGTTCTTCTGGAAAAATTATCCTACTATGAGAGGAGTAGTTTTATCACTTATTGAATCATATTTTTAGAAACTCGTTTCCAGAAGGCTAGTTTTAACAACACTTGTTCAGATTACCTTCCTGTCGTACATATTATGCCCCTAGGTTCGGTCCTCGGGCCACTACTGTTCATTATTTATATAAATGATATATTTGAGTTCATACAACCCACGAAATGTGTCTTGTTTGCTGACAACAGTACACTTATTTGTTCTGGAAGTAATTATCGAGATGTCATCGCCGAAGCAGAGATTATCAAAAAAAGAGCTGAGGAATGGCTAGAATATGATAGATTGAAATTAAATACCAATAAAACTAAAAAAATTGTAATATCAACGCATCCCTCTTGCCATAAAGGAAATAGCGTGAATTTACTAGGAATTAGGCTTGATGAGAAACTAAATTGGCACCATCATATTAAGCTTTTACAGAAAAAACTTTCAAGTACCATATTTCTCCTCAAACAGCTCAAGAGTATCATAAATTCTGTAACTTTGAATATAAATATAAATATAAATTATGGCGTTTTATTATGGGGAAACCCTTCTCATTCTCCTATCATATTTCGCCACCAAAAAAAGGCAATGAGAGTAATGGCCAATGCATCTTATAGAGAACTCTGTAAACCCTTATTCATCGCATATGGCATCATGCCATTACCAACATTGTTTATCTATAACACATTTCAAGAGGGTCACAAACAATCCAATATACCCAGAACTCATAGTGATATTCATGACACCAGACATGCGATGAAGATACGTAATCCTCGGTTTAGACTTACTGTATTTCAGAAAAACTCCTTTGATCACAACATTAACAATATATTGCCTCATTGAATTAAACATTTCTGTTTCATTAAATTTAAGCATAATACAGAGCAATTTCTTCTCGAACATTGCTTCTAATGGGAAGAATATTTTCAGGCTGATCATGAGGAATTACTGGCTTGAGTATTAATATAGATGAAGTGGCTATCAATATGTACCTTTACCTGTATTTTTTTTCTAATTGTTCTGTATTTTTAATCATATTGTTTGTCTTTTAACTTCCCTTTGTTTTTCTTTATAGTTCTATCTCTTTGACCTGCTACAAATGTACCGTGTACATAATGTGTTTAAATAAAAGTATTCCATTCTATTCTATCACTGAAGATTAGGCCACTATTTTTATTTATATTCTGTATATCTCCCACTCCTGCCAATTTCAGAATCCTAATTCAAGAATTACCAAGGATGCCTTCAGGGGTGCTTCCATTAAAAATGAGGCACTATACAGGGTGTTTCAGAGTTGTGATGACAACCGCCTAGGGGGATTCTTTGCCACAAAATATTAAGGAAAGTTCATATAAACATGGGTCCGAAAATGCTGGGTTTTGGAGATTAAAAAAAATCGTTTTTTTTTTATTAATATTTTGAAAACGCTCAAGCTAATTTGACTGAAATTAGTTATAGAGTTAGAAATATGAGTTTTGTGAGAAAAATAGGTTTTAGTATAGTTAGCTGGCATTTTTTAACGGAAGCTAGTTTGATAATTTGATTTATGCAATTGTGAGGAATAGTTTTAGGTTGTTTTTTTATGAATTACCGCATTTTGTTATCATATAATTTTTTGATATTCATATGATTCATGCATACATAACCCCTTCTTCCAATTCCTGACATGTAGATAATGGGCACATATAGCTCCTTCTTCCATTGTGTTCTTGATGTTCAGTGTAACATAGCCCCTTCTGCCACTGTGTATCTACTCAGATATGAAGAATAGAAACAAATCCTGACAGGGCAAGTTACATATGCATGTAACACGTTCTTGCATGACATAACGGAATATTTTCAGAAAATGTTACTTGACCCCTTCTTCCACTTGCCCCAGAATTTTCAGCTGTCTCCTGCATTTTTTTTCATCATTTTCAATATATCACACTTGTTGTCTAGTGGAAATGATTACAGATATGTGGAAACTATTCATTATAGGTAAAAATGGCTTTCATGTCCCTATCTTAACTTTTGATTTACTATCAACTGGCATTCAATTGGAACAAATACAGGGTGGTTCAATATTCAGAATTCTGATTTCATCAATGATCTAATTTAATTCAATATACCTATGCCAGGATGATGTCTTGATATTCTCTAACATTATACATAGCTGCAACATTGTCCCAACAATTTAATAAGGACAGCATTGCTATTTCTTATAAACAGCCTATTCAAAAGTAACAAAGTAACAAAAGAGTATTTTTCTACAATCCCAATTTCTTTGTCTAGGTAAATTACCATTTTATGCTAAATAACAATTTTGTTTTCCAAATATCAGCTATGAAAATAAATGGAAACAAAACAGATGATCTTCAATAATTGTCATTTCATTTTTCAGGAATGCTCATTATTTTGTTTTTGCAACAGCATACTGAAGAGGTCTGAATCTTCTGCAACTGTTATTATTATTTATTATTCAAGAACCTGTCAGGACCCAGTGAATTATAGTGTGGAGGAAAACCATTACCGGAGCAGGTACCCTAGGAATATCTGGAATATCTCAGGTCTAATGGTTCAAAAGGGAACTAAGAAAATGTTTGACTGATGATTGGATAAAATACATTGAAACATCATTGTTGTTGATGTGGAAAGAAATATACTGGTAATTTCCAAGGGGCTGAAGGGCTGAAGTGATTTAACCTTTGGAATGTTTTTTCCAAGGTTTTTTCCTTCAGGCAGAGTCCTTGGGAAAACAACATTTTATAAAGTTTTATGAAGTTTTCCTTAACCATACATTTGAATAAAACTGAATGAAAAAGTAATCAGGTATTATTTTTGATGATTAAGGCTGTTTTTTTTTATAGGTGGAAAATTAGAACACAGTACCATTTATACCTACCAACCTACCATTCTACTGGATGATATTTCTGGCCAACTACCATGAGATAGGGAAAACATTCATAACTTTGATGAAACAAGAAATTATATGGATATTTGGTACTTTCTGACATAGATAAATATGTGTTGTCTTACTGTATAAGTCCTGCTATGACCTCTTCATCCAAATATGATGCATTGAATTTAACAACATTATCTATCATGGTCAAATAGTCCTCTATCTTTCCTGCTTTAGATATATCTGGAAGCCAATTCAATAGAAAGGGACCTATTTCCTCCTCAAAAAATAGTATGTCTTTGCCATTGGTAGTCAATGTATTCAACAATTCCAGACGTTGGCTAACATCTTCAGAATGATGGTGGTGTTTGATGAAACGAAAAAAGTGAGCCCTCATGATTTTCAGTTTATCATGTTGTCCTTTCAAAAGTGAATTCAGAAAGTAGAAGGCTGCATGGCGAATTTCTGTGGAGTAATCATCTCCAAATAGGTCTTCTATGGCATGCCACAATTTTTCCACTGCTGTCTGAAAAACAATTCAAAAAATTCTTTCAGCTATGCCTAACTATACTATATAATCTAGTATTCAAAAACAATCACATGTACTCTAGGAAGTGTACAGTATTTATCTTGGACATATAAATGTGAAATATACATTTATATCTTACATTTTCTAGTTTGCTGTCAGCCACTTTCACACTGTATTCTTTCAATACCTTAACTCTTGTGGAAATAGGAGAATCTTTGCTCAGATCTCTGAGGAATTCTTCATTCAAACATAGGCTATCACTACGTCCAGGAAAGTTTCCTAATGAAGTGTCCACTATCAATAATTATTAATGAGTAATTACATAAAATGGTACTATAAAATTACCTGTATGACCCCTGTTTCTCTTGAAAAATTCTTTGAGAGTTTCTTTGAATCCTTTATCTCTTGAACTCATTTTGTTCTCAACACCTCAAAGCAGCCTGATTAAACTAAGTCACCTGTTGATTAACATAAATGAAAATAAAATAAACAAGCAAAATATTGGAAAAAAATTGAAACGTGAGGACAAAAGACATTCAAAAAACACTTTCGGTTCACACTTTTTACAGTGGTTCACTTTCACAGCTGATTTTGACAAATCGCATAACCTAATTCTTGCCACAGCACAGTTTGACAGTTAATTCGGACTGTTCGTTTGCTCCCTCCATACACCGTCAGTGTAATACAGGTTCAAATGAAAGTACAGGGCACAGGGACCGATCCAGGGGGGACCATAGAGATTTGATTTTTAGTGCCAAACAGAGTTAACGATTGACAATTCCACGACCTATATGAAGCTATCATCTCCTGGCGAGAATTGAATATCCTCCATGGTTCATCGCGAAAGAGAGAGGGAGATATAAACACCTCCGTCCGGTTTTGTAAATATCGAATATACAGAGTGATTCATTGAGAATTAAAATTTCTGAACTACAGGATAGTAAACACTGAAATATTAAGATTTGGCCTAGCATGCCTGATGAGCCTTTTGCTGGTTTAGGAGATACAGGGTGTTCTGAGGGACGATTATATATTTGAATTTCTCAATTACTTTGTAAGTTTTAACATCATGAGCATGAAATTTTGAAGTTTCAGGTTTTCTCACATGAGAAATACGAATTTGAAACTTATTTTGTGATTGCTCATAGAGGGCGCTAGTGGCACTCGGTTACTTTGGTAAATCTCATCATACCTTTTTTGTCCCTTTTTAAAATACAGGATGCTTCAAGATTCAGAATTCTGATCACCCTGTATCTGTTCCAATTAAATGTCAGTAGATAGTGAATCGAAAGTTAATATGGGGACATGCAAGCCGTTTTGTTCGATAATGAATAGTTTCGACACAAAAAAAAATCCTAAAATTGAACAATCTCGATTTTGAACACCCTATATCTCTCTAATAATTCCTGCTAGACCCCAAGTGTAATGCATTGATGAAATCAGCTCTTCAGAAAAAATCTAAAAATGCAATAAAATACAGGGTGCTCTATTTAAAATAACGACGTTGCTAGTTGTTTCTGATAGAAGTGGCAACACTGTATCGATGAAAATATTATAGATGGATAGATAATCTTCAAATATCAAAGCATCCCAATTTTCAGAATGTTCTGTCGTCTTTTTTCGTTCTCCAGATACTTCTAATAGGCCATCCACCGTGGATCACCCTGTATATGATAGTGAATCAATTCAACCCTAAAAATGTGACCGAAAGTAATGTTTATCGTTCTTTGGGCTGCTAAATAAACTCATATCAACACGATTTTGTAGTTTTTCACTAGAGAGTGGAAGTACTTTTATTAACGTTTACGGATTATCCTCAAATTGAGTTGATGCCATCAGTGTTATCGTAACGTGAAATTGAATTTTTTTTGTCGGTATGTATTGTTTCATTTTGGTTGTTTATTTCGATCCGAACATTATTGATACATGTTAAAATGAGCGGAATCCTTCAAGAAGAACTCTTCGAAGATCCAGAGGATTCAATAATCTTGACTCAATGACATATTCCAGTTAACGTACGTTGATATTTAAGGTGTACGTGAAAGTACGCGAGATATACGCCCACTACCAACGCATACGTGGAAAACGAGGAATCCGCATGCGTAGCTGTCGATTTCTACGTATACGTTATCTTTCATGGCAGCATTCTTTATATATTTTGAAATCGAGATTCAATACCAACTAAGTTTCAGATCAAAGAAACGACGTGTTATCAATTGACGGAAAATTTGCACAGAAGATGAAATCAGCGACCGGTGATAAGCTTCTCATTTCTGCTACCAATTTATTTCGAATATTTCTTCCAAATGTTATATTTGTTAAGGAAGGCGATATATCAAAGAACATTTTTCGATCGTCACCTCTAAGTAATGGCTGTTCTATGAAAGTTCTATTCATGTGTGAACAGGACATCCCAGTGCAGGTTCAATGTCTCGACATCTCGTACTCTTTTTTGATATCATATGAAAGAAAATAGAATTTGAGAATGAGTTACATAAGCATTCTCTACACCTAACTCAAACCTACATCTAGTTCAATATTCAATAAAAATCAAGAAGTGCCTTATATACGGGTGTCCCACTAAGGTCGGCAAAGTACGTTATTATGGAAACTATATTGTAATGATATTCCCCTTGGAGGGGCTTTAGAAACATCAGCAGGAAGGCAGGAGTACAACGATCATCCTGTATCACGCATTCCAGATTGCTCTCCAACCTTTCAATGATTCCTACATACACCAGCATATTTCCGAACACTCAATATATGCCGCAGTGACAAATAACGTCACAGAAGATTCTGGAATGTTCTGGAAACAATCGATGGAACAATTAGAGAGAGAGGTTTTGTTCTAAGAAGCTTCTAGAAAAAAAAGAATGAGATGGAAGATAAATACTGTCTGTAGGTTAATCGAGGAGGTGGTATATTCATTATTCCAAATTTTTTGGGATTTTCTCTCCTCGTTTCTATAAAATAAAAATATGAATATTATTTCAATATACGTGTAGTAAGGACAAATCAGATGATTTGCCCCAAAATGTCACTGCGTTTAAAGAATTTTCCTATCAGAGAGCCTAAAAGAAAAATTCACTAGCTTGTCAGTGACAATTTGTATTGAAAAAAAAAAAAATTTTTGGAGAAGGGAAATAAAGGTATATAGAAAAAATATCAAATTTTCACTTATCTTTGGACGTTTCGGGACCGGTTCTGCTCCCGTTTTCAACATAAGAAGAGATTATTTCAATAGCGAAGTCGTATAATGTCTTGAAGCTTTTCAGTTTTCAATGACAATTGGTGACGTTGGCAATCAAATGAGTTACAGGATGTTTTCATTAATTGATCTTGAATTTACCATTTTCATGTTCAGATTTTAGTAGTGAATACCATGTTCTGTCTATATCAACTGAACAAGAAGCAATGTTATTGTCTCCGTTCAGAAGAATGCAAGCAGATTCCTTGATTTTTCTCTTCTGGTTGTTATCTTCTTTTCCAATAATTTTAATATTATTCCACTCTGCCATATGTTGTCCGTCTTCAGTAAGGATATGTTCAGCTAGTTTCGATTTATCGATGTTTCTTTTCTTTATATTGTACTTATGTTCCTTTGTCCTTACTGAAAGAGGTCTCTTGGTTTCACCTGTATAAAATTTTCCACAAACACAAGGTATACTGTAAATACAATTTTTTGATGATTGTTCTTCATTTTTCGGCTTTGTTTGAGTTAGAATTGATCTCATTGTATTTTCAGTTTTGAACACAGTTTTCACTTGAAATTTATCACCAACACGTTTTATTTTTTCAGATATGCCGGGAATGTATGGTATTATATTTGTCGTTATTGATGGTTGATTTTGTTGTGGTTGACCCTGTTTGTTTTCAATTCGATGAATCGTCCTATCGACAAAATTCTTTGGATAAGAATTGAGTTGGAGAACATTTTTAATGTGGTGGACTTCGTTATTGAAAATTTGTTGGTCAGATGATATTGATTTGGCTCTATCATGGAGTGATTTGATTATTCCTTTCTTAATACTTTTCTGATGATTTGATTGAAAGTTCAAGTATCTGTTAGTATGGGTCTTTTTACGATAAACACTCGTTACAAAGTTGTTATTTGATTTTTCAATAAGAACATCTAGAAACGGTAATTGATTATTAGATTCAATTTCCAAAGTGAATTTTATTGTAGGTTCGGCATTGTTCACATAATCCAGAAAATTATCTAGCTCCATAACATTGTGAGGCCAAATTATGAAAATATCATCTACGTATCGCCACCATGTTTTAGGTTGTTTTTGGTAATTTTTGATGATGTTGTCTTCAAAATTCTCCATAAATATATTGCTCAAAATTGGAGATAATGGCGATCCCATGGGATCGATACGTAGATGATATTTTCATAATTTGGCCTCACAATGTTATGGAGCTAGATAATTTTCTGGATTATGTGAACAATGCCGAACCTACAATAAAATTCACTTTGGAAATTGAATCTAATAATCAATTACCGTTTCTAGATGTTCTTATTGAAAAATCAAATAACAACTTTGTAACGAGTGTTTATCGTAAAAAGACCCATACTAACAGATACTTGAACTTTCAATCAAATCATCAGAAAAGTATTAAGAAAGGAATAATCAAATCACTCCATGATAGAGCCAAATCAATATCATCTGACCAACAAATTTTCAATAACGAAGTCCACCACATTAAAAATGTTCTCCAACTCAATTCTTATCCAAAGAATTTTGTCGATAGGACGATTCATCGAATTGAAAACAAACAGGGTCAACCACAACAAAATCAACCATCAATAACGACAAATATAATACCATACATTCCCGGCATATCTGAAAAAATAAAACGTGTTGGTGATAAATTTCAAGTGAAAACTGTGTTCAAAACTGAAAATACAATGAGATCAATTCTAACTCAAACAAAGCCGAAAAATGAAGAACAATCATCAAAAAATTGTATTTACAGTATACCTTGTGTTTGTGGAAAGTTTTATACAGGTGAAACCAAGAGACCTCTTTCAGTAAGGACAAAGGAACATAAGTACAATATAAAGAAAAGAAACATCGATAAATCGAAACTAGCTGAACATATCCTTACTGAAGACGGACAACATATGGCAGAGTGGAATAATATTAAAATTATTGGAAAAGAAGATAACAACCAGAAGAGAAAAATCAAGGAATCTGCTTGCATTCTTCTGAACGGAGACAATAACATTGCTTCTTGTTCAGTTGATATAGACAGAACATGGTATTCACTACTAAAATCTGAACATGAAAATGGTAAATTCAAGATCAATTAATGAAAACATCCTGTAACTCATTTGATTGCCAACGTCACCAATTGTCATTGAAAACTGAAAAGCTTCAAGACATTATACGACTTCGCTATTGAAATAATCTCTTCTTATGTTGAAAACGGGAGCAGAACCGGTCC